AGAGGCAGGGGCGAAATCGGGAAACGGACATGATGGAGTAACCGGCAGTTTTTCTCTGTGCCCTGCCCAATGAAATACGATCGGTATATGGCTGGCTGGCTGGCTGGCTGGCTTCCTGGGACTTGGGTCTTTTGGGTTTCTGCATGTTAAGCACACACACACATGATGTCTCTAGGCAGGCCATTGGGGGGTTTTATCTCCGAGGCGGGGAAAAAGAGACCAAAAAACGATAAAACGACTCGGATGCGTCGTTTCTTCGTTTGATACATATTCCGAAAATTTTCTTAAATGCCCCAGCACGTGCTCTGGATGTGGGTTGGAAATAACTCATGGTCAATTTTTTTAGAACTTGTGCTCGATGCTGGTTCTTAGATTCGCTCCAAGAATGGAGAACGAGAACGGGGTCATGGTCTGGTCTGGTCTGGTCATATTTTGGGAGTCGGGTGTGGGTAAAGCGAAGCTACAAGTATGTACCTACCTGACAGAGAGATATAGATGCGGTGGGAAATTCGACAAAGACGCTCTGAACGTCTGGACGTCTGGCACAATCGACAAGGACATGCGTAAGAAAAAGAACAAGGCGAGACACTTGGTTTTGGTTTTCTCTCCCTGGACACCTAGGTAGAGAAACGAGTCATCCCTTTCCCCCCGGATTATCTACCTTCTTTTGTAGGTTATGACTTCCCGTCCAGCTTCGTAAACGCCCCCGGCCCGCCAGGGACTTGCAGCCAGTTCTTGTCGTCGTAGTGCTCCTGGCCCTCGATCAGGTGGAACGTGTAGATGATGCGGCCCTTTTGGCTCGTGTTCTTCTCGCTCTTGTGCAGGATGTTGCCGTGGATGAGCACCAGACTACCGGCCTCGACCTCGCCCAGGATGTATTCCTCTTCTCTGTCGGAGGGGGTCTCGTGCTCAAAGTCCCGCGGCCACTGTCCGTCCTCGGCGAGCACGCTCTCAAACGTCGTCCCCGCCGACCCGTCGACTTGCCTGCGCACGAAGCGGTCGCGGATGGGCGCGCGTCGGTGGCTGCCCGGCGCGAAGCTCAGACACCCGTTCTCCGCGCGGGCGTCCTCGAGCGCGATCCAGAACCCCACGGCCGACGGCCGGTGTGTGTACAGGAACGTGCTGTCCTGGTGCGGCGGCACGGCCCCCCCGATCTCGGGCTGCTTGCAGATGACCATGCTCTGCAGGAGGCGCGGGTCGCGGTAGCCCAGGTCGCGGGCGATGGCGGCGTTGCGGCGCCCGACCTCGCCGGCGTGCGACACGGCGCCAAACTCGGCCACCAGCCCGTGCAGGTTGTGTCCGATCTTGTTGATGGCCTTCTCCTTGGGCTTGTTCAGCGTCCCCGTCGCCGCGTCGAACGCGTCCTCCTCGAAGAAGAACCGCACCTTGTCCCCCGACGTCAGGAAGTAGTCGTCCCCCACGTGCGTCTTGTCCGTCGGCTTGCCCGCGTCGTCCGTCCCCGTCGTGAACTTCGTCATCGGGTGGTCCTCGAGCGGGAACTCGCTCAGCAGTTGGTGCGTCTTGGAGAGGAGGGTCTGGCACGTCTCGCGTGACAGGTACGACGGGATTATAAGGTAGCCGTCGCGCTGGAACGAGGCGACCTGTTTGGGCGTGAGGCCCACGACGGGTGTTTCTGATGACGGCGGGTCTGGCGAGATTCTCGAGGGCGCCATCTTTTGAGGGGTTCAGAAAATGGTGCCGGAAATTAGATGAAGGCTGTAGCTAGTGTTCAGTAGGGCTGTAAATGTACCTTACCTGGTGCATAGAGGTCTATTGTGAAGGTGAGGAAAAATGTCAGACTCGGTCCTTTCGTTCACGCCGATATCCCAAAGGCGGAGAACAGCGCGGGGGGTTCAATCGCTCTAAGATCAGATCCACTGACGTAGACATCAAAGAAAGTCAGATGCGCCTCACGCTTGGTATTCTCGACTCCGCGCCAAGACGAGGTAATTCGACACCCAGCCAGCTTAACCCTCTTCAGGACGAGGGTGATACCGATTGTCTGAAAGAGCAGAGGATGCACCTTATAATATATGGACTAGATAGATATGGGTCGCGTTAGGTTTCTGGTGTAATGGTGATATTTGGGCCGGCTAGGAAGATGGGCATGGCAATTTGGTGAATTGATGAATATGATTCCAACTAGGGATCAGACTATCTAGTATATTCTGTACATCGTTTCGCAGTTGAGGGGACAGACATGTACTCGGTCCGGAGTATAAGTGCCAGATAAACACTAATATTGGTGACTCATTTCCGAATGCTGCTCAACCTTGGCCTGCGGTGACGCTTTCAAAAACTCCAGAGTCAACGATCTCCCTTCACCAAATTGTGGCTGGATGCCGTATATTCGAGCAGTAGCGGGAATTTGCTGCGCAGATCCAGTTTCCATGAGAACCCCGCCTTTCCCTCTTTGGTCGTGCAAATCGGTCGTGTGAAGCTCCTCCGAGTACAAGGTGGCTTCAGCACATACGGCAGCCAGGTTTGAGTCCCAGAAACCATCACGCCGATTGAACTTGGACAGAATTTGCAATGCCTGACGTCGTAGCTTTGGCTCACGACATCGAGTGGCGATCAAAAAAACTGGAGGTACTGGGGACAAGGCCGTGCATGTGAAAACCGCTTTGTTCAAGATCGGTAGACGGGAGAAGTATGACGGCCGTAATGTGCCAAAGTCTTTGTCCTCCACACGTTCCAGTTCACATGGGTCGCATTTGGGCTTCAGGCCCACAAATGCCTCGATGATGGGAGCCGGTGTCTTTTTGCGTTTCCGCGGCTTGGTGGTCGATAATGTCGATTCATGTCCGCCAGTGTTCTGAACATGCAGCAATTCTTCAGCAACATCGACCATGGACCGGAATATCGGCATGCATCCATCATAGTCCATGACCTCATTCGGAGAATCTAGCAGTAGAAAGAGGCGGCTCACAAGGTACCAGAGTCGGAGAATCAGGGCCGCTTCACGGTGGTGATTCGCTTGAGCAGGACTGCGTGTCGAGTCTGGAGATGAAATCCTATCAAAGGCCTTTTTCCAATGATCGAGTTGTTGCGAAAGTGGCAAGTACCAGGTGTCACGTAACGCTGCCATCTCACTAGAAGACTTGACCAGTTGTTTAGTGGTCGCTTCCAGTGTCACTCCGGTGAGCCGATCCACGATGATTTCGAGGGATTCAGTGGCAGCTGCTATGGACTGAAAACGATCTGGTAGATGGGGAGGCGGACTACCTAGAGAGTGGCGAGCTGTATGCACAGTTTGTTGCCCAATTTCTGCCAGCTGGCGTTCCAAGCGTCTAAACAGAATGGTCAGGGTGGAGAGCGGAAAGTATGGTCGCTGTTGGTTAGCATTTGATACTCCGACTCGGTCCAGTTCTCTAGAGACGGCTCCATACGTGTCGAGGAGTTTCAAACCACTGTGTACATGAGCCTTGGCTGAGCCGAGATGTCCCTGTAGAAGCTCGCAGAACGTGAACACAATGCAAGCTATCAAGGTCACCTCCATGCATCTCAGGTCCTCGTTTGCTGCGACGAGAGCTTTGATCGCGGACGAGTATTGCTCCAGGCCAGTCCTCAAAAACCCCGAAGCATGCAAAGCCTCATCCTCATATTCTTGGTGAAAGCCTCCTAGAGCACAGACAGCATGACGGATAGCGGGTTCATGGTAGGCGGCCTGCAGTAGCAGCCTGTTCCAGACTTCCGTCTCTTCCTGAAAAGGACCACACAATTCCAGAGACGATCGCAGCTGGTAGAATTCAAACGCCCGTCGTTGTCGTGTGTCTTGTAGGAAAAGGGCTTCAGACAATGACGGTCCGTGGTTTAGGTAATTGACAAACGTGAAGGATCCCGTTTTTCCACGTTCCGTTGTAACCTCGACATATCCATCACAGGTTCGACCGCGCGCTAGGCACCGCTGGCATTGTGGCTTCGTTTCGTCACATTTGACCTTGCGGATCCTGCGATTGTTGTCAATGAGGGGTGCTAGGAGTGGTTTCGTGTACAAAGGCGCAACTACAGCCAGCGCCCGCTGAATCTCGGTACATGCGAGGCTGACCAGGTGTCGGCTTCAGGCAATGGATTAAATTTTGACAAAACGGATGGAACTCACTTGCAGGTTTTGCAGCCCGTTCTTGTATATGCACGATGCTTGACTTGCTTGGTCGACGGCATCGCAGGCTAAAGTGCAAGGCATGACAGAGGCTGGCACAATAGGCGACAAGCGAACGATCGGACTGCAGGAAGATTCGGGGCTAAACAGCACTCTTTGCCTCTGCTGTGGCGCTACTGGCCCGGCCATGGGTGTGACGGCGAGGGGGCACGAAAGGATGCGGTGAGGCGGGTGCCTGGTGCTCAGATCTTCAGGCAGGGAGAGTAGTAGTAGGTAATAGGTAATGTTCGAGAATCGTCCCCTCGTCCCAATCCAGGGGCCATCAGGCTGATGTTTCGGGAGGCTGGCGGGGTGTGGGTCTGAGCCGCCAGTCGGCACGCCCAAAGCGCTAAGCCTTTCGCGAGCGTGACTCCCGAGCCATTCCATACAAAGACCACCTCTATGGTGCAGCCTCGTCGGTTATTTTCAGGTACCACGCCAACGCACTGAGATTGTCGATCTCAACTTGAAAAGGCATCTTCGCAGACTGCCACGGCCCCGTGCTACTACTCTCCGCGAGATTCGCTCGACACCATGCGTATTCACATGCCTCACTTATATCGAGTAGCGGGAATGGTTGACTCCACCGCATCCCTTACACTCGAGGCGAGTCAGCTTCATCCCTCCGTTACTGAAGCAGATTGACCTATGCACATCCCTTCTCGCGATTGGACTGTTCGCAATGCCTTCACCTGAAGAATGTACGCATCCGAGATGATGGGACGCGCATTCACCGGCTCTAACACAGTGTTTCTGTTGTTCCTCAGGACAAGGGTAGTCGCCTTATGGACTGACAAGATATAAAATTCTTTGGACCGTTGTTCATGTCAGTTCTCCAACCTTGGCTCCTTGTCTCACAATGCCTACCTTCTGTGGATGGGCGACTGCGCTCTTCTGCTTCTCCATTACCTTGGCAGTAGCCCACCCAGAAATCCTCTGGACCGACTGTAGCGAGCACGTTCCACCGAGCGATGTTTTCAATGCCACCGGCGTCGATCTTCAACACCTCCCCTCGACGCTCAAATGCGGCCTGCTTGTTGTGCCAATGGATTACTCCAAGCCACTCAGCGAGAGCAACAATATCACTCTGGGCCTGGCTATGCACCGACCGGCTCAGCCAAAAGGCGTTATCTTCTTGTTGGTCTATTCTCGGAAAGGTTGTCTGTCTTCAAACAAAGTTGACCCAATATAAGCTGTCCAGGTGGCTCGGATAATGCAGTCGTACACGCGTGGAATCTTGCACTCAACATTACCTCCCCATTCATTCCTGATTTCTCGGACTTGATAGACTACGACTTGATGAGTACTCAACCCCGGCCACTTCTACTCAACTGAAACTGATATTTTTTCTTCTAGTGATGGATATTCGTGGCACCTACAGCTCCAATCCTCTGAACGTTTCGCTAGACACAGTTCTACCCTTGTTCAACCCCTAGTGAGTCCCTCCACCTATCCTTTGTGAGAGAGTCCGAAGCATAACAATAAAAAAGCCCGACGTCTCAGGATGAATTTAATACTGCGAAAGAGATCGCTGCCGCCGCCATACAGTCGTGGGTCGATTCAAGTTCGCCCCCGGGGATCGTTGGGCATGTCGGCACACGAGAGGTTGTTCAGGACTACAATCAGATCCGTCAGGCCCTAGGCTATGAGAAAATCCACTTTATCGGCGCTTCTTAGTGAGTCGAGTCTCCATTGTACTCCTGGATGCGACGACTCCAACTAACTGCAGGTGACCACAGTGGGAGTTATCGAGCTTTACAATTCGCTCAAACATATCCTGATTCTGTGGGCCGCTTTGTGCTGGACGCGGTGGTGCCGCACGGAGTTGTAAGTGCACCAGGTTTGTAGCTTGCGTTGACAACTAATAACCACTTTGCAGTGTCCTGCTCAGCAAGCCGAAAATGAGATGGCGGCCGCAAATCGGGTCTTACTGAGAGCAGATGCATATTGCCAGAAAAACTCGTCGTGCCCCTTCAGTGGTGCAGGCAAAGGCAGTGTTCCAGAAGTGGGCGCCATAGTCTCCGGAGATTGTGTCTAACAGGATTATTCACTAACATTTGTCAGGCATACCGTGAAATCATTAAGACAGCCTCCAACTCATCTGTCGACCTTGTCTGGGCCATTCAAGCAACTATCACCGGGCTGCTCCAAGATCAGCCCGACTTTCCTCAGATTATTGACTTGATTGCCGCGCTGTCGATGAATATCAGCGCCTTAGACACTTTGCCCCAACAAGCATTGACGGCCGGGAGCATTGTTGCTTATGTTCTGGAGTGCGGTGACTCTCGTGCGTGGGTGTCCTTCTGCGAATAAATTATAGCTGGTCTGACGGATACACAGCTTTGACTACCACGTTTTCTGAGTTTCAAAAATCTTTGAACGCTGGTCTAGCGGTAAGAACTGTGCCTCAAGCTGCTTGATTCAGTTATAGGACGAAGGGCTGACCAAGATTGATGATAGCTTGACACCAACAACTTCGGTCAAACAACAACTTGGTTAGCACAAGTCAGTTTTGTCACTACCAATGGGTGGTTTTGAACTAGACACTGACACAGTCCAGCTTGCTTGCTCAGCTTGGCCGTTCGACACAGCGCCATTGGTACCAATCCGTACGGAAATCCCCATGCTGGTCGTCACGGCGGATTTCGATGGCAGGTAGGTTCTGATTCAGGCGCAAAACATTATAGCTCCAAAGGCAATCTTCTGACAAACTTGCTTCACATGATACAGCGCACCAACAGAATGGACCACGCTGACAATGCCCGACATTCCGAATGGTCATCTGGTTGTTCGGCATGGCGATGACCATGTATCATTCAACCGTAAGTGTCGTCTATTGCCCAGCGTTTCCCCTTGGTCAGGGAGAACTAACCGGGCCCTTCGTTTTCGATAGTGCCCGCTCAATCCTCGACCGCGATCGCGAAGCGCTTCTTGCGCACTGGAATCTTGCCGGGCCATTCCAGCAATACGTTTGTGACCGTCTACGCCCCGCCTGTCAAGAGAGATCCAATTGCCGACCCTTACAGCGTCCCAACTGGGTTTCTGGGTGGCGATGTGGATAGTGCATGATTTTAGTCTGCAAAGAAGGCCCTGGCGTCACGCGTGGTCAGTGAAGGGATAAGGTCTCTCTCTCTCTCTCTTTTTTCTTTGTTAAGGTTCCATTTCAAGTTACAAAATATATAGTGTTCCCGAACGTTGTGAATGTGCTCAATCCAATCACTGTTGTGGAATTGGGAAATGGGAGGAAATCATCAGAATTACCACTGGGCAGGGCAGGCACAATGATAATTTTGACCAGAGGGGACCACTCAAATATACCTCATCTAGATGGTATGATCGAGACTCGCGTTTCATTACAGGGCGGCGGTGTGGGGAAAGTTGGCTGAATGCTACGTGAGGTCCGAGGCCCGCGCAACAGGTATCACAAGCATGAATGTGGGTTATTGGATTCTCTCCCGTTGATGGAGGTGCCTCTGGTCAATGTTTGTCTCTTGTTGGAAAGCTGTCGAGAACCCTTTTCCCCTTTCCCCCTTTTACCCGTCATGATAACTAGCCATTCCTGTCTCAGTCCAACCGTAGTGCCACCAGCTTGGGAAGGAAGTCCTTTGCCACGTCACCATTATCAAGCAACTTGAAGAATTCCTCGTGGTGTACAATCTTCTCAATGTGGCAGACCAGATAGTCAGAGATCAGATCGCGCAATTGGTCAATCTTCGGGTCACGACACGGAGTGTTGGCATAGGTGTACTTCAATAACTCGACAACGTCGCCGACCCGCTGTTGATGCAGCTTGAATCTTGACAAGGTGAGTCGGAGCTTCTGTAGGACAAGTTCCCGAAGCGGCTCAATGAGATACTGGTCGGCAAAGGTGTACAATTTGGCGTGGCACAGAAAGACAGATGTGTAATTCTGATGTTGGTCTTCATTGACTTCCGGGTCCCAGCACATAGTTTCCTTTAAGTGTGCTTTGGTCTTGAAAGAGTCCCACGCCTGTTTACCCTTTGACCTCTCATTCAGAGAACCTGGGTCTTCGAAGGCTTCTGCGAAGAAGGCGTTATTCTTTCTGCCTTTCTTCTTGCGGGAGAAACCCCCGCTCGGGAAGTCCCAACTTTGAGCAGGCTCTGCGGCTGAATAGTCCTCATAGGAGACTGTTTCTTCAGGTGCTTCTGGAGGGATATCATCGTCATTGTCTGCTGTGGAGGGAACGCTATCTGACTTTGGCTCGGCGACAGCATAGTCGCCCGTATAGGCAAATTGGATGACGCGAACAAAAGTGTCTTCATCCGCATCCTTGAGCACTGCATATCGATTCTTTGCTTCCACCATGCCTCCTCCAAGCAGGGCGGCCATGGGGTCAGACAGCTTTGTAGCAAGTCCGCCATGCATGTAGAAAGGTTTTGCAGTTGGACCGACGAGGAATTTAAAAGGTTCCGAATCGACAAAGCTGTCAAGCATGAGAAATCAAAGCCGGCGAGGGAGATCATGCGTCGATAAACATACCTTTCGTAGGCAATATCCATGGCTGCGGCACCAAACGGCATAGCAAAAGACGCGATTCAAGAGGAGAGAGGCAGACTGAAGAAACTTACAGGTCACACTACGATATTAACATCCTGCGTGCGCAACAAGCATAGGATGGGGGTTAAAGAGCTTCCACACGCGTTCGCCAGCCAGGCTGAATCAAAGGACGAATGGTTTCAGACTTTCACAGTGACACGACATGAAGTGACGTGTGCAACTGAGCCAACTGCATGAGGGATGGTACTTTGTATGTGGTGTTTTATCATTCGGCAGCCTTACAGTAGAACATGAAATGGCATGCAGGCCGCTGAGGCTGAGGCTGAGGATGAGGAGATGTCGCAGGTGCCCCAATGGAACTAGACTTTGTACATGTACCTCTACCTTGGCAAGCCTGATACATAATAGTTCTGGGACGAGCTTCTAGGCCTTAACTTGGTTAATTGGCAATAGTCGGCAAAGGGTTCAGGCAAGACCACTAGCCCTACCACGCCACGCCTACCGAAGCCCCGCCATCCCGTCCCCGCTGTGCGGAGCCTTCCAAGCCGATGGCCATGCCTACCATTACTGTTGCCCCCCACCTATAAGAAGCTTCAACTGCAGCCCCTGCCCCTCTCCCGCCGATTTGCTCCCGGCATCAGCTTGAAGCCCCGCCGACAAGGCACAATCCCTGCCCCTCCTTCCCTAAAAAGCTTCCAGCCGCCTGCATTTGATCAAAAACAGCACTCCCCTCTCAGAGAAAACATAGGAGGCTGGTGCACACGCCGCCGCCATCGTCATGCGTAGTGGTGAGAGGAAGAGAATTCATCATATGCCCACGCATGGCCGACATGCATCATGCATGCAAGTGTGTCTCAAAAGTCCGTGCGTTCGTCAGCTCTTGATCCAGTCCAACTACTTACCCAAACCACTCGGTACCAATCCCACCCCCGAGGAGCTTGGACTGCAGGTTTGCAAGTGCTTTGTTTCCTTTCCTCAGACACCTTTACGCAGCTCACACCTCCCAATGCTGTGTCCTTGCGCAGATGCAATTTCGACCCCGTGAACATCATCCAATCGCCCATCGATTCCCTCGCCCTCATTTTCCTCCGTCCCCATGCCATTGATCCAGCAGAGGTCGCCAGACCCGCAATCGGAGTGGTCGGCCGTCGTGCAAACGACAACTGCGCAGACTGAGTGGGAAAGCTGGACGAGCGTCACGCAGCAGGTCTGGAGCACATCGACTCCCGCGCAAGAATGGACCACATCATCCTATGAGGAATGGGCGACAAGTTGGTCGACACAATCTGGATGGATTACGAGCTATACCGCGACGACGGACTGTGCCTGTGAATGGGTAGTTACCTCTTCCTCATCGTGGTGTCCGACGCCTATCGTTGTCACCCCTACCACGACCAGCTTGATCCCTATCGAAACGACGCCCGCGGGTGTCATTGTCGTCGATGACCACGACCATCAGGGCCTGGCCCCGGGCGTTGTGGGCGGCATTGTGCTCGGCGCCTTCTTCGGCGTTCTCTTACTCGTCCTTCTGTGTATCTGCTGGTTCCGCAGCTACCGGCCCCGACGATACTATGCGGGATCCTCATCCTCCTCCTCGTCATCGTCCAGTCACTCACGGCGGCGCAAACCGCCTGTGGTTGTCATCGACCCTTACCCGCGCAGACCTGCTGCGAATCTCACTTTTGTCGGCGGAGGGAACTACCCGGGAACGCGGGTTATGGTCACAAAGACGCAAAAGACCTTTGTCAGACCCCCGCCTGTCAGGCAGGTCAGAACTGTGAGACATACGAGGAGGGCGCAGAAGATTGTGGTCGTGGAAGACTGACGCGAGAATGAGAGACGATCTGATTGAGCCCCGCGGAATATTCTGTTATCTTGTCGGAGAGATGGCGAAATATTGACAATGTTTACATGACTACGCAATGAGGGACGAGAAGAGGGCGGGACTTTGGCATTGACGAGCGCAACGACGGTATACCCACACATATGGAAGGGCTGGTTTTGATGAATTGGGGTTGGTTTCTTGCTTACATATATATCCACGAGTCTACGTTACGGAGGAAAAGGGACTTTAAGAGAGATGGATTCATGCACAGTTTGGAATATTCCAAGTACATATTTACGCACGTTGATGGAGTCGGATAAATGACATGGAAAATCCAAATCAATCTCATACCTTGAAAAGCTTTCTGTCGTCAGCACTCCGAGCATTATTAAGGAGGAGGACTATCGCCATGTAGAACAATAACCGGGACGACAAGCAAACAATCTATAAGGGAGGCAAGCCGACTGTGTTGCCACGGGCCACGGCTTGATTGTTTGGTTGTCCTCGTATAATATACAGCCCATGTCCATGTCTATATCTATATTCATATCCGCAGATCGAACGCAAACAAAAGCACCCCGTAATGTAAATTAGCGAGCACCTCGTACTGAAATGTGAAACAATACCGGGGTGAAATGCTCATTCATCGCATCTCGTCTCACCTGATTCATTGGTCCGTGCCTTGTCTTGTGGTACCTAAGGTATGGACTCGATAGGTACGAGTACGTGGTATGCAGGGGTATACCGAGTATACCATCATGGGCCCTATCGCCCAGGGCACCTGTCTACTTAACCTGATCTGGCTCGTCTAGTTGGTCCTTCCCTGACAACTCACACAGAAGTCCAACAGATAGATAGATGGATGGATGGAGAAAACCATTGCATTGGAAAAGCTAATTATCTAGTTACACACAGAGAGAGAGATCCCATAAGAAGACCCAGATCCAGACCCATTCCTATTCATAAATACCCGGTAGTCAAGAGGGAGGGAGATAAAAATAGGAACACCCAACAGAGAGACCGCAGGACGGAAAGGAGTCTCTCACAGCTTCAACGGCGTGGTGGCATTATACCAGCTATACGACAGGCTCCTTGCGCTGCCACTGCCTTTGCCAGACGAGACTGGTTGCGCCGCCGGCACCGCTGGCATAGGCATCGGCACATGCATAGGAATAGGCATGGGCATAGGCATCGAACCCGGCGGCGCTGGGTAGTGGTCGTATCGAGGCATCGAGTAGTACGGGTTGGCTGCTGGCGCGGCTGCGGGCACGGATGGGCGTCTGCTGTGCCCTGGCGGGGCGGGTCGGTGGTAGGACTTTGTCGAGTGTGCGCTGGACACGCTCGAGGCGCTGGAGCGCGAGCTCGGAGCGCTTGATCTGGAGCTCGCGCCTGAGCTCGAAGTCGAACTCGAGCTGGGACTGGATGGTGCGCGGGAGTGCGAGCTGGTATGGGAACGGTGCTCGGGACGGTCGTTATGGTGGTGACTGTGGTGTTGAGATGATCTCGACGACTGGGACTGTGGACTCGACCTCGATTTGGGCTTTGGTTGCTCTATCGACTTTGGCGTCCGCGGCCGACGCCTCTGGACCTCCGGTGCGGGAATATCCTCGACCTCGTCGTCGTACTCGTCGTAATCGTCGTCTCGGGGATGCAAACCGCCATGCATGACCGGAGCAGAAACACTCCTGTCCGCCTTCGAGCGCGCATTCACCTCCCCCTGCCGTCTCAATTTCTCCGGGCTCGCACTCAGATCATAGGGGAATTCCGCCCTGCCTTTGACGTTCCCACCACCGCCAATGTTGAGGGGAGGAGGTTTGCTCTGGCAGGCTAGGTATGCCAGCGGTCCTCGAAAGACGGCCTTTGGGTCGTGGTTCACAGGTCGTTTACGAGGGGGTGGTGGTGCGACTTTGACCCATCCTTGCGGAGTGAGGATCGTAGGCATTGTACGAGATAACTGAGTAGGTTTGAGTTGGAGGGGACGCGATGAAGTTTGGTGTCAATCAGTGAGTCGACCTTTGGTGATGTGGGATTTTTACGATATAGTCTGGACAAAAAGACAAGGGGCCAGACAGACAGACGGACAGACAGTAGCACTTGTGAATAGAAAGTCAGGTCTAGAGCATTTTGCCTTGGGTCGGCGTTTGCAGGTCGAGTCCTCTGAGACAATTTTTGGAGATTGGACTCCCAGCCACATGGAGGGTTGACGAGGCTGGGAAATTGGGGGCCTGGATCATCCCTGCTTTGCCACCCAATGTTGAATCAGTGTTTCCGCCATTGTAAGACTTGGATGGAGAAGAACAAATACAAGTCATTTGCGGCAATCAATTATTCATCACCACGACAGAAATGGACTTGTTATTGCTCCAAGTTGCAGGCCAACGTGTTGCCCAAAGTCCAGCCTTGCCCCCGCCCCGCCCAGCCTCGCGACTTTTGTATGGTGGAGAACTTTTCACGTGATCCAACCATGGCGGTTACGGTGGATCCTACATGATCACCAGAGTACTCGGTATATGCATGGCTGATGCCCTTCGCAAGGATTCACTGCTGACTTGATCTGATCTCGATGGTGTTGTTTGAGGATCAATCCAAACGCGCGCATCTCAATTGCGGTCTAGAATCAACACAAATACGCTGAGAGATCTTCAAGGTTCAGAGCTAGAAATTGTCCAGCAAAGCAGCTGGCGGGTGGCAGGCAATTATGTTCTGTAGGTGGTGGTTTCGGCATATCTCCAGCTATTCTCCATCGTTTACTGGTGGCCTCCCTGGATCCCTTTGACATTGCCACAAATATGGGATGCGGCAGATCTTTCGAGATACTCAGCCCATTTCGGACCGTCAATCTCTCGCCAAAGATTCGACTCGGCTTCGATGGTTTGAGGAAAGAGACCTGAGGCGTCACTGGGAGTGCAGTTTGCGAGCATAGCAATGCTATGCCCCGAGCGTCGGTCAATCCAGAAAATCCGAAACCCTTGGACTGTCGGCTCTAGTCCAGATCGGATAACCCTGATCTTGATTATATCAGGGGACGAGACCCCGTGAGCACTGCCATCGTTAGTGAGGTATTAAAGTTAGCAACGTGCATGTTGGCTCACATCTGGAAGGTCTTGCTTTTCTCTTCATAGGACAGAAAATTGGATGAGAGAAGCTGAAGCCGACTTTCTTCGGGGGTATCGTGACACCTGCGGGGATGGTTCATAGTACTCTCGGACTCTTCACGGGTCATGATAAATTCTGCCAGGTCTGCTGCCACGGCGCTTTGCCAGATGCCTTCAGTCCTAGAGCGAAGCCGCATCAAACGAATTGCGCCCCTGCGGATGACAGGGTCTCGGCAACGCAAAGCAATAAAGCCTGCCACCGCAAGGTATTCTACAGTGAAGCCGAGACAAGTATCAGCACCAGCTGCCACTTCCATATCGAGCATATCCGCAAGTCGTGTGGTCAGGTCGAGTAGAACTTGGAATTTGGGTAAATGGTTGTCAAACACCATTTCCGATCGAGATATCGTCGACTCCAGTCGTATTATGGTGGCCCCAAACTGCATCTGCAGATAGCAGGTTCCAATATCAAAGTGGAAAGAAGATGAAGGAATGGTGCAATTGCAGCTTCTATGGCTCCCCTCGCTAAGAAACTTTGTGAACGACTCATGCCATGTCCGTAGACGTGTTCTTCCTTGTTGAATTATGCCGGAATCACAATATGGCCACGCGTTCCGCTCGTGGACGTGTTGAAGGCTGCTGCATAGACCGTGGACAAGCTTTTCGAAATAGAAGTGGCTTTCTTTTAAGGATTGAAAAGACTCTGGCAGATCAGTCTGGGACATCTTAGGCTGATCTGGTCGCATCGGCATCAAAGTGGCAGCTGTGTTCTGGAGATGCTTTAGGATAGGTTTCAGATGCTCCTCAATAAGTCCGCCAGATGGCTTGAGTATAGTTTCAGATCCGTCCGAGGATTGCCATTCGGAAAGGACTCGCAAGCCTGCATTTAGATGAACCAGAGCATTTGATAACAACCCGCGAATGTTTTCAAAAAAGGTGAACAGGATTGACGCCAGCAGAATATCTTCCACGTGGGTGTGACTTCCCGCATCGAAAAGGCTCTTGATTGCTTTGTTATACTGCAAAAGGGCGAAGCGGTGGCGATCCAACTGTCGAAACTTGTCAGGATGGTCGACACTCTCATGATAGGAGGCAATTGCAACCAGCGCATGTCTGACAACACCACGGAAATAGCCAGCTTGAAGGACGAGGCGACTCCAGAAATCGTGATTGGCGAAGCTGAGCAGCTGCTTCGAAGTTCTGTCACGAAAATAGTAGAAACCCCAGCGTTCGTCTTTGTCTTGCGGGATTTCGAAGAGGAGAGGTCTTAGGGCGACATAGCCATCGCATCGACGTCCTGTCGACGTACACCTCTTGCAGCTTGGCTTCGTTTCGTCACATCGAATCTTCCTCGCTTTACAGGTGACACACCCCGTGCGAACCTTAGGGGCGTGGCGCCTTGACCGCGTCTGGGCGCATACCAGCGAATTGACCATTGTTTGTAGACTTGCCCACAAGACCGTCTCTAGCTTCCATTCTAAGTGCCTCCCTGTAGAATGAAGATGAGTTTGGCTATGGCTGGATAGGAGCTGACGACCTGGTATTTAAGATTCGACCTTGACGCTTGTAAGGTACGCATCCGCCGATCGAGAGAGGCGTTAGCGAGCCACACGTGTGCGGCGTAGTAAGGCAGGACATGATAGGGCGCGCTGGGACAATCATTTCAGCTCAGTGCAGGGTGCCTGATGATGATCATAAACTCAATGGTTGAGAGATGTCAAGTAAACGAGCATGGCTGGAGATTGCGGCTGCGGTTACCGTTTTCAGAAAGTGATGTAATACCTCACCGTACACGATCTGCGGTTGATCATTGACTGCGACCTGCAATTGGAGCCTTGCACGTGCCTCGTTCAATTTCCCAAGCATCATGCGAAAGCTAGCTTCCCCTTTCGAATGTCTGTCCCTCTAATTATCACTGAAGTACATCCCAGACCCTCCAAGTGCTCAGCCAATGTCTTCGTCTACGACCGACCCGGGGTCTCCGACGCCTTCTCCCTTCAACTACATCCTCTCATTCCTCCTTGTCGGCATCTGCTGGGGCTTCACTACACCGTTCATCCGCAAAGCCGCCGTCAACTACACCGCGCCGTCCCACCCTTCCATCACTGACCCGAACCGATCCTGGATCTCGCGGCAGGTGGCCAAAGCCTTCTTCACCGTCTTGGGCCTCTTGAGAACCCCGACCTATGCTGTTCCTTTGCTTCTGAATCTGACCGGAAGTGTTTGGTTCTTCCTATTGGTTGGCCAAGCCGGTATGTACACGGTGTTTGGACACTATTGCGAGCTGTTATTGTCTTTGAGCGACAGACCATGTCGATCTTCAACGGCTGACCGGTACATACAGAATTGTCTCTAACAGTGCCCATCACCAATTCTCTGGCGTTTCTATTCACCGTGTTGGGAGAATGGTATGCAGAGGGCAAACTCATTTCGAGAGACACCTGGCTGGGGATGGTCTTGGTATGTGGCGGCATCGGACTCTGTGTCTGGTCAAAGACTTGATTTGGGCATGATGTAGGGTAAACCTTGGGGCCGAGACAGCCTTGATTATACATGACTATAGACCAAAATGTGGACATAGATGCGGGTCAGGCAATGACAAGCAATACACAACTAGGCTTGTCGTTGACTACGATTTACTGTCATCTATTCAAGTTGTTCTCGTCCCGGTTAAAGTCCAAGTCGTGACGAACTCCCAGTGTCCAAACGCTCAGTCGATTTCCTTGGGGTATCTCGCCATGGTGAAGCCCTCTTGTTGTCCGTCCTATACATACACAGTGTGCCTTTTAAAACGCCCGACAGTCGTACATATAATGCAAGTCATCATCCAAAACGTCGCCCGTGTCTCAGGTATAAGGACTTTTCGTGAAATCATACACCGCGGAACTAGATAAGGTCAGCCAGAGGTCATGCTAAAGCCGACGAACCACTTACCATTCGTACAATCAAGAACCAGCATGCGCCAGTGAACCTGAAGAGTGACAATCCCGCCACCGACCACAGAATGACCGCCAAATAAATGGTCGAGTTCTGCTGTGCCGTGTCGCCCGTATCGATTCTCTCGAACCCGGAAATGTTCAGGACGGCGGCCACCAGGATGAAGTTCGTGATCATCCAGGCAGTGACTACGTTGCTTCGGAAGGACTTGTAGTAATCTTCTTGCTTATCCGCCGGACTTTGCTTGCTGACCTCTTTCTCTGCCTTGGTCGCAAATCGCTTCAATTCCGCATCGTACTGGGCATTCAAATCACCGTCATCTTGAGGGATCGTCACATCTACCATCCCACCAGGCTTCACGTTCGCACTTGGAAGTTTTTCGGCCTTGTCGTCTCCTTTCGTACCCCACGTGATGTCGTGAGTGTTACAGAATGCGTAGATGTTGAGGACGTTGATGTAGGTCGGAGTGAGGACAATGTATTGGAGGAAGCAGGTGAACATGTGCCAAGGGTCAAAGAACAAAAAGCTCGCGACGAACCAGAGGACATATGTGCTCGCAAGAGAGACGATCAAGCCGAAGAATGTGCTGTTGTTGAAGATGGTCGAAAAGCTGAAGTCTTTCTGGTTAACTTCGGTCTGGATCGACTTCACTGTCAAGAAGATTGAAGCAAAGGTCAACCAAATCATGAGAATGGACCAAAATATAACCATAGCCAGATACGACTTCTTGGAACCCTGGGGTCTGTTACCCATGGATAAGATGAAGCAGTAAAGCAACGTGCCCAGGTATATGAACTCGAAGATGACGCCCAGAACTGTGCCAGTCCTGCCCAAGGGGCCAGGTGAACCAAGGGAAGACGTCAAAAGTCGGAAAACCAGGAAGAAGTTGCCAATAGCGAACCAGGCGAAAAGCATGTTGATGGTCTGGTACGTGAATTCGACCAGGAACATGAATTTCCGGATGGCGCTGTGATTGCTGCGCCAGAGCTGGTAGACGTGTGCCACAGCGTAAACTGCAGCGAAGAAGGATCCGTTCAGCCAACGTCTCCGCTGAAGAATAAACTCGGCGATGCCATCAGGAACATCAGTTTCGCCTGTGGCGGACTTGACATATTGGAGGATCCACTGACAGTTGCGCTTGCTGACGAGCTCGAAACACAGGATTCGGTCTTCGGCGAGGTACATGTTTGCGGTGAACACTCCAGCGTCTGCGTGCATAGTCTCGCCTTTGAAGTACTTCTCGAGCGGTCCCTCGCCATTCTTGTCGTTCTGCAAGGCAATATAACGGTAAGCCGAAAAGGCACCAGGGAGCACCGAAATGAAGCCAAATGCGGATTCCAACGGCTTGTCCAAGATATTCGACATCTTGTACTCGAAGTTCTGCGTCGCGACCAGAGGATTGTAGAGCTTTTTGCCGTGGTCCAGCATAACCTTAATCTCGCCACAAGCACCACCGCAAGAGGGTTCTAGATCAAAGGCCTTCCATAGATGATAGATGGAGTCCTTGCCGGGTTTGGTCCCTGCATCAATGAGGACACAGATATTTGGCTCCAACACCTGACCGAAGGCTTGAAAGAACCACCGATGTGAGTTGATCTTTTTCTGGTTCTTCTCCTTGAGGCAAAACAGCAGCTGAACCGGGGTAGCCGACCTCGGCTTCAATGACACTTGCGTGCCCTTCAGTTCCAGACCGACCTGAGTGGTGTATTCATAGATATGAGCAGTGACATCTTTGCCATTGACTTGTTGTTTGGCAATCCCATCCTGATAAACACCTAGACCAGCGAGAACAGCCCTTGTCCTGGGGTTGATTTTGGCACGACCATCGCTAACAATGCAAACGACGATCTTTTTCCACGCTTCTTTACCCCATGTTTTGCTGCTGTTGCGATTGCACATGAACTCAATGTTCTTGAAGACACCAATCATGGTTCGAGCAAACAGAAATTCGTCCTCGTTGTACATGGTGACGACGATAAACAGTTCCGTCTCTCGTGGTTTTGCGAAGAGTCGCTGTCTCAAAGTGAACCGCTCACTGTAGAAATCCGAGGGGTCACATGTGGCGGCTGAATACCTCATATGCGTGAACTCGTCTCTCTCCGGCGGTTGCGCATGAGGAACATTGGCGAGGAGTTTGGGAGGAACGGGGCAATCAAGCACCAAGTTGCCGTTGAACAGCTGCACCTCCTTAACGGTCTTCCACCTCCGTATGGGTGCCGGGGAAGGCGTAGGACGCTGCTCGTCTTGGTAGCCGTCATAATTCATTTCATCCTGACCGTGCGGATCTGGGCCGTACGAGTTGTCGGACTGAAGTATGGGATCATGGTCGCTATCCAAACGGTATGGCTGGTCCGCTGTAGGGTAGGGATCCAGCGCATAATCACCCTGCGGATGAGGCGAATATGATTGTGTATAATAGGCGTCGTGATGCTCCTCCGGAGACACAATATAGTCATTTCTTCCATAGCCCATGTCTCCCCCTGGTCCGACTGGTAACTGTTGTTCATATTGTTGATTGTGCCCGTAAGAATGTGGGATGTTTTCTACCGAGTATGTCGGCTGCATGGCTAGGCGGTCATTAGAAGCCGTGGGCATCTGAAGGGGAATTTGTTGTCGCGAATGGGCTTCGTCTGGATGAGTGTAGGGTTGTAATGGCCGACCTGGCGAAGGCGACCGAGAGTCGTACTGAGGGTTCATACCGGGAGAGTAAGGGTCGCGTTGAGGATCTCCTGGAGACCGAAGTCAGTATGCTCTTGGGTACCAAGCAGAGAGGGGTCTCACGGATGGGGTTGTAGGCCATGATGGGCCAGGAAGGGGGGAGGGGAGCGCAGAGAGAAAGTGGTCTGTGTTCGGGGACTGGAATGTGAGAACGAGACGAAGACGATCTCTTGTGTCAGAATTTAGAATCTTGAACGGTTGGACAGTACTCGTAAGAAGAACCCAGGCATTCGATCTACTCGAAGTGGAGTATTTGGTATATATCGAGTATTGTTTACTCTTCTATTACTGGATCTGACTCTGGGGCGGAGCGACTATGTAGTCATAGGAGATGGAGGTAGTCGATGCCGGGGGGTTCCCAGGACACTCTGTAGGAGTCGCACTGGTGACACTTGGATGAGGGAATGGAATATTTTTGACAACGTGTCGAGAGAAAGGCTGTCAGCGCGATAATGTCCAGGTACAGTACATGTGAGACGAAAAGAGTGTCCTGTTGGTTCTCAGCTGGGCGCAACAGAGTCCAGGCTTCAAAAGTCATACAGCCTCAGCAACCCTCAGCTCTCTCTGACCTGCATTTCTGTTTCTGGGCGCCATGGGCCTCGGACCCGCTGATGGCCTGGTTGGCATTGGCTCCCTGTAGTTCCCTGGCACTTAACGCCTAGGCGCCACGGGCCCTGGACGGCGTTCAGCCAGTAAGATCTGGGCCCAGAGGTCATCGCCGCAGAAACGAGCCACCGCCCTGCAGAAAGATGGAGGCGCCCACGTTTCTTGGTTACTGCAGTTTCCGCCTCTCATCATCACCAAACACCCCGTGTTGCTATTTATTCATACCAAGATTTGGGATTTTGCCCTTCTATTTGCAGCCTATTGCCTTTAATTGACCAGTGCAACTTGGGGTTCCGTATCGCATGATTATCAACGGACTCCCTCTTTCATAGGTGCATTCAGAACCTCGTACCCGTGGCCAAATTCGTGCTTGGTGTACTCGGTACTCGTATTGCTACCCCTTGCACCTAACGGTCGCGGCGCAATCTCCCTCAAGGCAAACTGCAGATTTTGGTGCCTTTGTGGCTGTGCACGAAAATGTTTCATGGTTCCCCGGACTAGCCCTGCCAAGTCCACGAGGCTTGCGAGGCTGCACATCCTAGTGAGGCTCCTCGTCACCTCGTACATCCGTACCTCGTAGATTCGGAACGCAGCCTTGCACCATAACGGCCTCTCCAGCCCCTCTCAAAAGCACACATTGCTCATTACTTCATCATAGTACTCCGTATACATTTGTCCTTCACCAAGAACTGTTCTGGAACCGTTTCGCGAGCACCATTCTAACCGAGTCATTGCGTCACTCTCTTTGGCGCAGTTAGCTGTCGGTGGGCTGCTGAGCATCCACGCAATCTTCCACGCAAGTCTCGACTGCGCCCATTCAGATACCCCACAATGACGGATTCTACGAACAAAATCTCGGTCCTCTTTGTCTGCCTCGGGAATATCTGTACAGCTCTGCCTTGCTATGGTTCTGTGTATCTCGGCTGATTAGGAATCTACAGGTCGATCGCCAATGGCTGAAGGCGTCTTCCGGTCGCTCGCGAAATCCCACCCTCGTATCGGCGACATCGACTCCGCTGGCACAGGCGCCTATCACACTCTCGATCCGCCCGATGACAGAACACTTGATACCCTTCGGAGACATGGCATTACAGACTACGAGCATGGCGCCCGTCAAGTACGCTCGAGAGACTTCCACGAGTTTGACTACATTTTTGCCATGGACCACTACAATTTTAACGACCTACAGCGACTGCAGCGAAGAGTCGAAAGCAAGGGACAAAAAACAAAAGCTAAAGTCATGATGTTTGGCGATTTCGGGGGGAGAACGAAGGGTGAGGAAGTCGTCGATCCTTACTACGGGGCCGATAGAGGATTCGAAGAAGTCTACGAGCAGGTCACTCGGTTCTCAAAGAACTTCCTGGAACAAGTTGCCTCCACTGGTACCTGAACATGATCACGCGCCCTAGTTGGGTGTGGATTGCCCAGGATGGTTCGTCTCCCGCCAATAGACTGACTTGCGATCTATGCGCGAAAATGAGAGACGCGTCCACTTCTAAAGAATCAATCGTCTCCAATCGGTGGATCTTCTAGATTGTGGACTTCCAACGGTGTGCCATGGACAACCTCTTAACTCTGGTCGACACGAATACTGCAATTGTCGCCCACCCGGTGGATATGTCAAGGACGAATACGCCACGTATGTCACCAATGCAGACCCTACCCATGTCCTCCAAAGATAAGACCTCTGGATCACTTTGTTGAATGGAAGCGCAGATGGAATGCTCGCACTGCACCTCCTTTCCCATCCCCTGATCCCACTGACTCTGTTAGATCCCCTCAACCTCGTGAAATGCAGGTTGAGGGAAACGGTTGGTATCGTGTCTTCGCTTAACTTGTAGGATCCTAGCGAGCCGGAGATGCACGGCTATATCTTCGATTGCCATCAGCTTGCTTGACACCACTCTTCGCGAAGCCTGGACACGAAGCAAGGAATATCACACTCGGGGCTCTGAAAGATCGTATGGCATGGTCTTTCTCCCAAGCCGCCTTGGGTTCAGTCCTGTTCGGCCCATAGTTTTCCTTTGTCTCGTCGACCTCAAAGCGAGTCTCGACGCACTGTTCAGATTTGCAAAGGATGGCCTTTGGGCCACATGATACTTGAGCTCAGAAGATAGCACATGGCAAGACGCTTGTGGAGATAGCTGACTCGAGTGAATCCCTATATTGCCTTCGACAGTTGACAGAGCTGTGCATCATTACGTTGGATACTTTGGTGGAGGTCACTGCATTCCGGCTCTCGGTGGAAGTTTCTCACCAGGGACCATCATCTTTTTAGGCATCCTAGATTCGACGAGATTGAGATCTTCAAAAGCGACTGGCACTGTCGCCTGATGTCATCAAAGTCTTGTTCTTCAGACAGATATACTTTTCTATACTTATTGCGTATGAGTCTCACGCCTTACTCTGCTCACCCTCTGGCCTCGTGTCAGCAGCCAAAGTATGATATCCGAGGAATGAAGAGGATCAACTAATAGAATATGTGATAGATGCCCAAGCTCGTTCCCGCTCTGCTAACTCCGGCTAATCAGCAGAATCAGAGGCCGATATATACGCGAAGGATCGGCTCTTTATACCAATGAAGCTGACTAAGCGGCAGAGACGGCCTGGAAGGATGAGGTCGAAAATCCTGTTAGGCCTTAATGCTAGACTTTTGAGGTTAATACTTTCTATCTCTCGTTAATCAGCCGTTGATAAAAATCTGTGGATATGCCATTAATTAGTCCACAACACCACGCAGCGTAGACAGCAAGGCCCATCAGAGCACCATGGAGACTCAGCCATGCATTCTTTACTACGACCGGCGTTCGATATGTAGCTCGATGGTACGGTATACGCTTGCCTGTGCAGGGTCGCCAGGCAAGAATTGCTTGTCCCTCTCACCGGAGCTTCGAGAGATCGACATTTACAAGGGCGAACAGCTCTCCGAATCATATCTATGCGAAGTGAATCCCAAAGGCCAGGTAAGAAAGACATGCTTTCGGCGATGCCCGTCGGCTGTTGCCCGGAAATTCGAGGATGGAGATTGACAAATACGAAACAGGTTCCGTCCCTGTCGAGTCCGGGACTCTTCGAAAAGCCAATGACCGACAGTCTCGACATCACCCTCTGGCTATGCGAGAGACACCCTGACCTGAGACCTGCGGAGTATGCAGACGACATTAACAGGTTACTTCGAGATCTACACGCCATCAATTTTTTCACACTATCAATGAGAAATCGTCCACAGAGAGCAGAGATGCTGGAAGGCACGATCCTCGCGAGGCTGGACGCACCGGACCTCTCGGACAGGCACAAGAAAGCCTTGGAGTACAAGTTGACCGTGTAATTGGGCCCTCGTCCTTTCTAAGGATATTTTGAGGGTGGTGACTAACAATACTTCTTGCCGTCAGAACCCGATCGGAAAAGGTCAGCGGCGTGCGCCCGGAAGTCGTCAAAGAGGAAACCAAGCGGGCGCGTGCTTTTCTCAGTGAAATCGACCACGTCAGACGTTCCCACAACGACGAGGATTTGACGGTGGAGGCATGGGTCTTTGGCACCGCGGTGCCGACTGCGTTGGACACTACCTTGATCTGTCTCCTGGCCAGGCTGATGGATGTTCAGTTGGAAGAGATCGTCCCGCCGGCGTTGTTGGAGATGGCACGAGCGGTGAGGGAGACGGCCGCGTTCAAGGCCATCTGGTCGTCGGTGTAGTCTAGAAAGATGACAAGCCTGCTCATATCGAAGTGGACACGACGGAAATGAGTCCGTCCCGCGCAAAAAGAGTCGTACATGCCTATCCGTTTGCTGATGTTTTTGATCCTGAAGCGTCAAGGTGCACGGCGTATTGGCATCCAACTGGGGGCACTCGATCCGATTCGATCTCCCATCAACGCAGCAAACTCGGACCGAGATATGCCGACCCCACGGTGTCTGCTCCGAGCCCCTTGTCCACTCAGCCTTGCGCAGCCTCGTCCCGTTCCCTCTTCCTATGCCTTCCATCCAGCGTAAAAATCAGTGACTATTTGCATGATGATGTCGTCCAGCAATGCCGCTCCCGCCCTTTGTGCTCTATAACTACATTATTGCAATACGGACCGCTGGTGCAGCGTCTCGTAGCCATTGGCCTTATAGGCGTGATTGGGCGGTACATCCCTCGGCAGGTCGGCGGTTCTCTGTTTCTGTCCCATTACATTTATTGGACGCCCCATGCCTGAACAAATCTCACATGAGGTGAAGTCAGGTTACGGCACATCTTCCGCTCTCTGGCCTCACCATCTGTGCCAAATTTGTCAGCACCCACGCGTTCACGACACTGCGGTTGATATGCACCGGGCGCGTCAATGGGGATGCGATTCGTGATGACGACAACGGTTGTGGTCATAGAAGAGTAACATGTACATTCTCTCGTCAACCATCTCCTGTGAAACTCAGAATCGACTACCTGAACTGTTTTCCCCTTTGTGAGGAATAACTCGAGTCGGCGACGAGAGAGAAAGAACTAATTTGGACAAAGAGATTGAGGGGCAGACTGTGAGGGGTGAGAGCGACAGAGGAAAGTTGATGAACGAGGACACGCGACAGACATACAAAGAACCAGACCAACAAAAGCCATGTCGAAGCGCATCCTAGTGACTGGCGCGACCGGGAATCAAGGTATAATCTATCTATATCTGTTACATTTCATATTTCTACGCTTAGATCTGATATCTTCTACGCATGCACACACTGCACCCCCATCACTGCATACTCAAAAGATCCCAAGAACCATTTACCAATGGGCTAACCGCTGTGCCATGTCGTCCCGCTCATTCCCATAGGCGGCTCCGTAGCAAAGTTCCTGCTACAACACCCAGACGAGTACAGAGTCCGTGTCCTCACGCGAAACCCCGACTCGGATGCCGCGAAGCAGCTCGCCCAGCAGGGCGCCGAGGTAGTCAAGGGGGACCTGACGGATGCGTCGACGCTGGACGCGCCGTTTCGGGACTGTTGGGGCGCGTTTGTCGTGACGAATTTCTACGATGCGGTGAGTGCTTGTCTTGTTCTGCTGTGCGTTTCTTCCGCTGCGACCATCGGTCCTATTTGAGGGGCCACGGCGGCATCTGGAGGACCTGCTTCTCTGTGTGTGGATGAATTTGTGTCTGTGTATGTGTTTATGCGAGGGCACACACATGCATGTATATATACACAGTAGCAGGTCCCATTCATCTTCTCCCCCTCTTCCCTTCCAAGAACCATACTCGATCCTTTTAGGACCCCTTTGCTGAGACGACGCCCCCGTCGATGCGAACAGACAATCAAAAACGACCCGGCCAGCGAAGAACAGCAAGGCCGCAACGCCGCGCTGGCGGCCCAACGGGCCGGGGTATCGTGCTTCGTGTGGTCAACGCTGCCGTCGTCGGTCGAAATCTCCCATGGCGAGGTGTGCTGCGAGATCTACGAGGGCAAATACCGCGTCGACGGCTTCATCCGCGACGAGCTCCGCTTCGACGCCGCCGTCTTCGTCTACACGGGAAACTTTTACGAGAACATGGTCTTGAGGGGCCACGTGGTCAAAACTGATGACGGCAAAAGCATCGAGTTTCGCCAGCCCATCATCAAGGAGGACACGAAGCGTGAGTGCCCCTTCTCTCTTTTGAGATCTGATGTTGGATCAACTGCTGATGATATCTCTCCCCTGGCTCTCCTCTACTTATAGTCCACATGGTCTGGGTCGAAAAGGACCTGGCTGGGGTAACAAAAGCGATATTCGACAACTGGGACCAGCGCAAGGACGAGCTGAGATATCGCCACCTCTACGCCATGGATGCCATCCACACGCCGCGCGAGATCTGCGACGTCATCAACCGTGGTAAGCAAGTTCAGCTTATCCGTTTTACTTGCCCGCACTCTTAAGGCCCTTAAAAAGACAAGAAGAAAAAAAACTGACCAAAAGGGCGCAAAACAGTTACCGGTCTGCCAACGAAATACGTCGTGCTGCCTACGTCCGGCAACGAACAGCGAGATATCATGTTTACCCTGTACAACAAGACGGGCACGTATCCGGGCGTTGTGCTGCCTGACCAGCAAGTGCTGGATCTGGGCGTGGAATTGCACGGACTGGAGCAGTTTGTGAAAGAGAGGCTCGTGCCACACCTGGGACTGGGATGAAACGGCCATCTGAGCAGCATCTCTGCCGTCCCTGACTGTGACTTGAACACAGAAAAATCGACTGTGTGGATAACTGGGCCAGCATGAGAAGAATGAAACAGGATACAATGCTCGATTTTGTGATCTGTCATTGAACAGAGCGGGTGAACTTGAGTGGGCACATACTCATCCCAATGCGAGCACCCCGTCTTCACTACCTAGATCTTCAAGTTCTTTTCTTTTTCCCTTTCCGTACTGGAAGCCCGGTGACAATGTGACAACTCCTTCGTGACATCCTGGGAACAGCCACTGTTATCCAAGTATGATTGAACACCACCACCACCACCACCACCACCACCACCACCACCACCACCACCATCATCATGGCACGCTGCTCAGTTCGCTAAGAAAAGGGGTCAGGGGGAGGCGGCCGTTCTGGCCAAGCAGCGGCTTCGCTCGGTGTCTCCCCGAATACTTTCATGCATGTTCCTGCGTAGTATTTGCTGACTGCATAACTGGCATAGTTGTCCGCATTGTAGATAGGCAACCACTCGAGCCAATCTTGATCTCGTGGATGGTACCTCTTGATTTCGGCGGAATTGTAAGTGCCATAACCATCTTCTGGCCAGTCTCCATAGAAGTCTGAGATGAAGTGGGGGGTATCGTCATCGTATGCAGTCGCAATCTTCCTATAGTAGTCTGGTACGTCTGAGAACAGACCGGGGAAATGCAGCAGTTCATGTAACATGACAGATCCAGTGCTGTGCATCCAATCACTGTCGACATATCCGAGGTTCTCACATCCATATCCATCATGGTATTGAGGGCCATTCGACTGGTCCTTTGCCGGGTCGATTGCCCAGTTTGCTGCCCTCTCTACATCTGCAAGCATGGGTTTGAGCTGATACGTTAGCGCACAGACAGACATCAATGCCGAATCGCCGGCATATGTAGGAACCACAAAGGCCAACCAAGTGGCACCGTCCTCGCAACTGTGGCCTGGCGCAGGGAGGCCCGGTTGTTCTAAACCCGGATGATCCCCGAGAAAATGAATCGACAGACGTGTGAACTTTTCGTTGTATGTCAGGGGTTCCTCCGCCAGCTGCCTGACAGTCTCTGGGTTGGAGAGATCCAGGTCGAAATCAATGTTGGCTATTGCACGAAAGATATTGTTTACGAATTCGGCGTCTTCGGGATCGAAATAGCGAGTGAAAACCTATAACTTACTCAGAGACTGGTTTCGATCAAGGCTGGATACACCACCTGATTTCAGACACGGTGATGCAGCAACTCACCTCGTCGTTCGCCGCATCGCATGGCCAGTAGAGAGCGGTATGTCTAGCCAGGTAGATGGCATCCTGGAATGTGCGATAGAAAATAGCCACTTGTGCATCCGTTAATCCTTCAGGGCCCCCAATGATTGGTGTGTTTGGAGGTCGGATAATGTCTTGTCTAGCTCGGACGAGAAGGTTGACCAGCAAAATGACGAGGAAGACGAAAGGAGAACGGATGAAGATGGAGGTAGCCATTTCTTAACGAAAGCAGACTCGACTGAGACAAAGAGGAGTGCTGATGATAGAGTACTTCAACCTTACCCATGTTTTAGAAGGTATAAACAGACATTTGCGTCTTCAGAACCATTAAACCGCGTTCTGAACATTACAATTCTAAATCGTGAATTTGAGGAAGCATTCTGATTTTCGTCACTGCTCAAGTGGTGACAACAACTCGTTCAGGTGACAGAGGTGTAAACACGTTACCGTGAAGCCCTTCACTCTTCACGGACCGTTAGCGTTGTGATAGCACCAACAGAAATCTCTTTAATCGCAATCAACCACGCAAGTTCGATGTTGGCTAATAACCTGGAATGTCCCAAGTCGCGATATAGGAAGTGTGTTCATTTTGGGAGCGCATTGATGATGATGGTCTAAGCATTTTTGGGTCGTTGCGGCCTCCGTGGGGATGGCCGAGAGCACAGTTCCAGCCAGTTCCAGCTGATGATGTGAATGGAATTGAGTTGGTATCGACAAAAAGAGGTGAGAGCAAAGGATGAGGACGAGGAGGGAGAAGCGCAGGTTGTGGCTGTCGCTTCAACTTCAACTGCGGCTGCGACTGCGGCTGCGGACAAACCTTCAATGACAATGACATAATAATCCCTAACGAATCTCCCAATCTCGCAAAACGACCATCAATCATCCAACGCACCATTCACCATCCCTGCTCGCTCGATCCCGAATCCACTAATTCTCCCACTCTTCGTGCTACCAACCCTCGTGCCCGTCTCCTGCGCCACGGGAAACAATGACACCAGGAACCCGGTGAGGCGGATGATGGCAATTGCTGAAGTCAGTCGTCGTTTTGTGCTGAGTTTATCCTCAATTCACGGCTTCTTCGGCTCAACAAAAACATTCAGACAGGCGGCAATCTCGCATCTTTGATAATCAAGTGTGATCCGGCCTCTTTTTCTTCATTCTGTCATAGATGCGACACTGCTGTTGTCAGCATCTGCTGCCATTGAGTCGATCAGCTTTCTTCCCCTCCGCAACTCGGAGAGGGGCGCGTTCATTCTCCCCAAAATTCAATCCGTTTTTTCGCCCGCAAACAAGGCCTCACTTCTTTCCCACTCACCCTTTTATTGCTACAAGTCCTGCCCGACGACTTGTCGCGCCCGTGGAATCTTCGGTGTCCTCGTACATTTTATTGTTCGGCGTTGCCTGTGGTGTCGCAATTCTTTTCGAATACTTAGGGCGCCATCAGCCCCCCGAGGCACACGACAAGGGCGACCGCACCGCGAATTTCCAAGGCCCCAACCCTACACCTTTAGCTCTCAACGATCCATTCCGTATCGATATGCCTGCTCCTCCCGGGCACCTGGGTAATTTGACGCCCGAGCAAGAAGCCAAACTGCGCGAATTCTGGGCCGCTACTTTGAGGATCTTTGGTGTAGAGGACCCCCAGCAGGCCAGTGGAACAGAAACACCACGAACAGAGGATGCCGCATCAGAAATTGATGTCAAGGACAAAGAGAAGAGCAAAAAGCGACTGGGTATATTCAAGAGACACAAGGATAAGGAGTCAAGTAATGGATCGGCCACGCCGACGAAAGACCCAAGCCATCATGCGGATTCCGATGACAAGTATGGCCAAGTAAAAGAATTCCAGCAAATATTAGCCACACAATCACCTGAAAGCTTGCGCAGCACCTTTTGGAGCATGGTCAAGGCCGACCATCCAGATGCACTACTGCTGCGCTTTCTAAGAGCACGAAAATGGGATGTCGACAAGGCACTGGTCATGTTGATTTCTACGATGCGATGGCGAAGTCAGGAACAACATGTCGACGACGATGTTGTGTTGCGTGGCGAAGGGGGTGCTCTAGAGGACTCGAAATCCAGTGACCCGGTCATCAAGAGAGAGGGAGAAGATTTCCTGGCGCAACTAAGGTTAGGGAAGAGTTTCCTACACGGCACCGATAAAGAAGGCAGACCGCTGTGTTTTGTACGGGTGCGCCTTCATCGGGGCGGCGACCAGACCGAACGTGCCCTTGAAAGGTACACGGTTTATGTGATTGAGACGGCCAGACTCGCCTTGAGGCCGCCAATAGAAACCGCTGTGAGTTCTGCCCGATATCCAAACGAAGCACAGCTGACATTTTGCTTTTCAGTGTATAGTTTTCGACATGACCAATTTCACCATGGCCAACATGGATTATACCCCCGTCAAGTTCATGATCAAGATCTTTGAAGCCAATTATCCCGAGTCCCTTGGCGCCGTCCTCGTCCACAAGGCGCCATGGATTTTCCAAGGCATATGGAAGATCATCCGTGGCTGGCTCGACCCTGTTGTGGCAGGCAAAGTGCACTTTACGTCTGGAGTGGAGGACCTCGAGAAATTTATCCCTAGATCACAGATCATCAAGGAGTTGGATGGAGAAGAGGACTGGGAGTATAAGTATGTGGAGCCCGTACCTGGTGAGAACGACGCCATGAAGGAAGAAGGCCCGCGGGATGCTCTCCAAGCCGAGCGGGACACCCAAGTTCGCGCATATCAGAATAAGACATTTGAATGGATATCGAAAGGCACAGGGCCGGATGTGGACCAGATCAAAGAACAGAGGCACACCCTAGCGAAGGAGCTGAACGAAAACTATTGGAAACTGGACAAATATGTGCGGGCCAGAACGTATTACGACCGCACTGGCATGATCGGACCAGACGGCAAGATCAACTTTTACCCCCCGCCTCCGGGAAAGGGCGAGAACGCGGATCTCAAACCGACGTCGCCAGAGACCTTAGCGGATGCGCCCAAGGTCGAGACCACTGCCGATGATGTCGACTAAAGTTTGGCGGCAGGAGAAGCCAACCTGAGAAACGCCCTTACCCATATCTGATATTTCGATCCTTGGACCACCATCAAGGGGACCCAAGCGGCAGCAGGATATACGATACGGCCAGAGTCTAGATGGACATTGGTCAGCTCCGAGCATGTGCAAGGATACATAGCACTGGTATGAGAAGACATATACTATTAATGATTTAATCTCTGGTAGGTGTACTGATGGGTTGTTACACAGCTCGACTGTGATTGTTTGTCATTGTGCTTGATCTTGTCGACTGTGCATTGGGCGAGAAGTTTGGGATGGATAGTGTCTCCGGCCTGCAGGAAGCATGCAGAGCTACACATCGGCCAAGATTGAAGACGGTGAGGACGGCCAAAACGAGTCACTGGAGTCGGGGAACAGTTACAATTGAGTCTGGAAGAAAAAGAATCGAAAACAAGAAGATTTCGACGACACAATCCTTCAGAAGCGGAAGGCCACAAACAACACCAAGACGCACTTATACCAAATGAGAGGACCATCCACCAAATATCCACACATCCACACATCCACTCCGGATTGACGGCTGGCGGTTGACCAGATCACACATTCCTGGGGCCAGAACAGCACCCTTTTTTTTCTCCTTTAAGAGTGATTTGAACAGACTGACTACTGATACGTCAAGACTAGCATCCGAGCTTCCTTCCGGGTCAAGTCGATCACCTCGTTGATTATTGGACGGGACTTCACAGCAGGTCTGCGCCGTCGTGCAAAGAGCGAAGCGCGGACCATCTTTCTGCATTTGGTGTCACGGGTCTCGTCTACTCCTGTTCCCACTTGTTGACCTCTCGTCTCTGTTCCCGTATTATCAAAGGCCACCCGCACTTTGGATTGGTCTCTTGTGCTGTCACCGCCACTGCTTTGCTTCTGGACTGCAGATGGACACCAATCTGAGATAAGGCCCGGCTCTCTGGATACGAAGGCACCCACCATGCCTCAAGTCCGTCGTCTTCTCGACGGAAAGAAGTTGGCGTGTTGCGTCATGGACCCATATCATAGCAGGTATTGCTCCATGGACGGAATACCTCGTACAAATGGGTCAATGTCGTGTTCAGGGTTTTTTTAACGGAACACAGAACAGGTCTTGTATATTTTCCAAGCCCTGGTCGGATCAGACACGGCGCGGGCGGAGGTAAGTCGATTTCTTACGGATACACTGGATTAATTCCCCCCCCCCCCCTGGGCCATCTGTCGATCCCAGTGGTTGGACTGCTATGCCGCAGATTGTGGATGGAAGGGGCATGTCGTGATCTTGACCATCTGCAGAAACGGGCGGCCGAAAGTGGTCAGTCGTAACGAGTTGAAGTACTTCCATTGAACAAGGAAGCTGGCAAGGCTCGCCGGCTCGAAATGATTCGACGATGGAACGATCTGCACGAGCTTGCACAGACCGAAGCACCCGTGGCAGAACGGCGTCCGTTTGCCAAATACTGTACGAGTACCGAGTATGTCCGACTCACGCACTATACCCCTGTCTTTCCTCTTTGCGACAGGTTGATGAATCCACGACAAGCACACGTCGATCATTGCGAAACCCCTTAGATTTGTTCCGGTGTTGTCTATACGTCTCTTTCATCTCAACGAGAAGTCAGTCTGTGTACCGAGGACGCGTATCTATCTCCCAAAACAGGGCTTCGACTTTCTTTTGGGCAGCACTTGTTTTACGACTTATGACATGATTGCATCTTCGCCAAATCCGCCTAAAAACTTTGAGGTGCCGACATCCATGAAATCGAGCAGTCTAGAACTTCCTAGTCCAGGCCAATGGAGCCGGTGCTAGAAGCCACCAAATCTTCCCGACGCTCCACACACGACGCTGACTCGCATAAGCAAGCATCCAGTTTGGTGATCCCAACCAGCCACCAACCAGCACAGCGGGGACCACCGCTGGTGCCATTCGACGCGAGGAACCCTCCTGGAGGTCCGTTGTTGTTAATACGACGGGCCCCCTGGAGGTGCAAAGGGGGTCCCTTGAATTTCTGGTGGAACAATAAGTCCCGAGTGCAAGCAGACCCCCTGTTCTCCAGGGATTTTGCTTTCATGCACAGTTACGTCGGTGGCCGTTTGATCAAAATATCTCGTTTCTATTTATTTTTTTTGGTACCGAGTATTATTTTGGTTTCCCGCGCGCGAACCTACCTAATACCAATTCCCTTGCGCACAAAGACCCCGTTGCGTTATTACATTCGTCTCTGGCCGGTCGGACGGAGGAGGGGGAGGGGAAGAGGTGCTGCTAGCTAGCTAGGAATCCTTTTTCTCCTTCTCTTTTTCTCTAGCATCCATATTGGTGGATGGACTTCTGTCTCGTTTCCCAGAGAGGTAGTTTTGTTGGACCCCCCTCCCTCTCCCGTACCCAACCCATTGCCTTACCCCGGAATAATGCTCCCACCTTCTCACGCTCCCAACCCGCCGGCTGTTCAACCCGTGGGCGGTGTGTGAGCAAGCGAGTGGGAAGGGGTGGAAAGGGTGAAAAGGAAAGGGAAGCGGAAATGCGCAATGAGTCTAACTACTAACTGTATTGATGGACGCCTCGGGTCGCAGCCAGAGCTCTGCATATGCGCAACGCTGATCGTTTTGCGCGCGCTCGCTGTGGGTGGACTTGCTTGCTTGCCCAACGTTACGAGTAACGAGTAACGAGTAGTAAGAGACGTAGTAGTGGTAGTGTCGGTCAGTAGCTATTCTGCAACCCAAGGTGCCAAAGGCATCATGTATTAGCTACTCCCGTTGTCTCACTCACTACTTTACTTACCAAGCACTTGGGGTGAGCGAGGGGAGGGAAGTGGAGGGGGCTGTGTTCCTCGAATACACTCACTCCCCCTCCCTCCTCCTTGACCTTCGGCCGCAGTTCACCCAGCGCCAGCGCCAGCGGGTACAGACCGTTCTCAGGAGGGGCCGGCCGGCAGGCACGCGCTTGTCCCTGGGTAGTGGTGAAGGAGGAAGAGGGAGAAGGAGGAGGGAGGAGCTTTGATGGTGTTGTTCGGATTCAAGCCCGGTCTGAGTATGTAATCGGGGTTTGTTTCGTCTCTTGCAGGTGGACGACTGATAACTGGGCGAGAATACCGAGTACTGTACATGGCATAAAACATGTGTATATCCCCGTACACACAATACATACTCCGTATACACACATACCGAGTCCAAGGTAGGAAAAAAAGTGGAAACGCGTCTTGTTTATGAACATCAAACGATAATCTTTTCCAATTTCCTAATTCTTTTCCTTCCTTTTTCCTTTCTTTCCTCTCCCTTCCCTTTTCGTTATCATGGGTAAATTTATGCCCAAGCCTGTACATGTTTCTGTTTCCTTTCCCTCCTCCCTTTCCTCCTCCCCTTCCTCCTTGAAGGCCTTATTGATTCTCTCCGCCCTGGTCGGGGATTTATAATCGTGGAAACGTTCGAATGGCAGGCACTTCGGAGTTAGCCCTCGTTACCCGACAATCCCGTCTTGCTCTTTCTTGTTTGCCCCTGTTTCTAAGAGATTCTTGTCCACGCCGTCGAATACTTCCGGGGGTGTGCGCGCCCGCGCGGTGTTGGGTGGAGGGGGACAAGAGAGGAGAGGAGAAGCTCGAAGCAGTGGCTGTGGTTGTAGGCGTGTGAATGAAGAAAGGGAAGGAGAGGGAGAGAAACACGCACACGTTCGGGCAAGATAATATCAACTCAACTCACTTTACTTACTCGCTCAAACTTGCTCGCTCTCAAATCCAGATCGGACCATCGCTTTCTGTGACATAGGAAAAGGAGCCTCGGGTCTTTTGATCCCATAGTACTTCCCCTTCTGGGAAAGGGGGAAAGGGAGGGAGGAAAGGACAGACATTGCATGTCCCATTTCCATCTGGGAGAAACCAATGCTTCGAGGGTCCTCAGTCGCAACCCCCTTTCGATCTCGAACCCGAACGGCAGACTGAGTGGCAAGAAGAGACCTCTATTAAGTCGATCCCAATCCCAATCCTTACCTCAATCCAGCTCAGGAATGACCATGTCGGCCGGCGCCAGCTCTCACCGAGACCTCTCGCCTCAAGACTCGACCTTTCTCTTCATCAACAACCTGCAAGAACAACTTGCAAAGTCCGACTTTGTGAGCAGCATCAACAACAGCTCCAACACCAACACCAGTAGCCAATCCACAGAGTCGCAGTCGACTCGACTACCTCCACCACCACCACCACCGGGTCCGGCAACCCCGTCAAAACAACAACCAAAGGATGGGGCCAGTCGGACAACAACGACCACCACCGGTACCGCGTCCGCAACCGCAACCGGGACTTCCTCGACGTCGACATCAATGACGCCGAAACCAGCCGTCCCCAGATGGACGGACAGAGACAGCCAGGGCGCGAGGATCACAAGACTAAGACCACCACGGCAGACCAAATGACATGAATAGAGCGGGGGAGGAGCATGTCGCTGCTGCCTCCCCTTAGCCATCGCAACGGCTTTGATAAAGCCGTTTTTCTCTCTTCCCTTTGCCTTGTCTGCGGCTTGCTCTGCAGCCAAGCATTTTATAATGATAAGACACGACCTGACATGACCAACGGACCAACCCCCTCTCCGCCTTTTTTCCGGGCCAACGCTTCTTCACAAGTTCGCCCTCCAATGGTCTTCCTCCGAATACCCTCGTCCAGAACAAAAAGAGTCCCGAGAGACCCAGGGAGTGATGGGAATTCGTGATGCAGAAAACAACCAAAAAGCTGGAAGCAAATACAGCATCAGGACTGTACCCCTGGGGCAGTGGCTGGGCATAACAAGGAACCCAACAGTTTTTTCCAAAAGTGAAGACTTGGACAATTTCTTTCTTAAACTGGATGATTGAGGATTGAAAAAAAAAGACGGTGGTAGAGGAAACAATGCATGCGTGCGTGTATGCATATAAGTGAGTGATATGTATAGTACAACAGCACAACAGTACATCGCTCCTACCCTTTTTGAACATTTCAGACTCACGCGATAATGATGATGTTAATGACGATGACAATGATGATGATCCAAGCCTCGAGACTTTTCTTCCCTTCTTCTGAGATTTGAACCTGGTTAATATATCGCTCATGGCTGGCTGTTGATGCCTGCCAGGCTTCTCCGGCTTCTTTCTCTCCAAGGCAGAACTTCATTCCTCGTTCCTCGTTCTTCTCATTGAACGTTTTCTTTGGCGTGGTTATCTTTCCGCCTTGCCTTTGCCTTTGCCTCTGGATAGATTTCCGGGAGTAGCAGTTGGCAGTTTCCAGTTGATCGCGAGGTCGAAACGGATACCTACCTTGTCTCCCTCCTTGATACAGTGAACGAACCAACAAACGGAAATAAATAAGCAAATGGAATAATATCCAACGGGTTTCTCTTTCTTTGAGAGGGGGGGGGGCCCAAATACATAGTCTTGACTCTGTCTTTTTCTGGATTACCCTAGTTGTTCACTCAGTCATGTAAATGTCGATTAATCCCCCGAAGGTCGTCCCCAGACCAAACAATTCAAATCGTCAGAAATCGGAAAATGGAGTGGGGAAATTGTTGGGAGGGAGGCTTTGGAGGGATGAGTGAGTATTTCTTTTGTACTCTGTACAGCGGTCATATTGCCACATGAGGTGCTGTTGGAGGTCCAAGGTGCTCGTTTGGAGTGGACCAGGTCTTGGTTGTTTGTTTCTCTGGGTCACGGTACCCTCTCAAGATCTTTCAAGATCCCTCCCTCTCTCTCTTATGTACGCACACAGCCACCCACCCACCCACATCCTCTCTCTGTGCTCTCTTCTCTCTTCTCTTATCTCCCGCTCTTCTATTCTCCACATCCAGACACCTCACCTGACCTACATCTTCGCCTTCAACGTCTCATACAACTTCTTCAACTCGTCCATCTCCATCTTCTGCGCCGGCCACCCGATCCCCAGCCCCTCTGCGGCGTTCGGCTTCGGGATGAGGTGGAAGTGCACGTGGTCGACCTCCTGATGCGCCAGCCGCCCGTTGTTCTGTAGGATGTTGTAGTTCTCGGCGCCCGTCGCCACGGCGATCTTCTTGAGGACTTGGAGAATGTCCACCAGCGAGTCGTCGGGGATGTCGGTCAGCTTGACGCCGTGGTGTTTGGGGATCACGAGCTATTTGGCGTCGTTGAGTTAGCCATTTCCGCTTTTGTGAAATGCGGTGATATTGCGCGTAGAATTGTGTGTTTCCATATGTTATGTGTTCAGATGTGCTGGGGCCGGGAACGGAGGGGGAGGGGGGAGGGGACAAGGGCGTTTGCGTACCGCATGTCCTCGACTCAGCGGCTGGATATCCAGAAACGCAAGGACCTTTTCCGACTCGAAGAGCTTGAACGAAGGAATCTCTCCTACAAAACACCCCCCGGGTTATTAGCATTCTCCGATCCTCTTAAGAAAAAAACACACCCGTCAATGCATTCGAGGAGTCTTTCTCACCTTTGATGATCTTGCAAAAGATACATGCGGCCATTTTAATCTTGTTCTCTCCGCTGCTGCCGCTGCGCGTGCCTCAATGAAAAATCCTGACAGGCGAGACACTTCCAGAAACACACGTCTGGGGAAGAATATCAAATATCAAATATCAAACCTTTGATCTTTAGAATGGTAACTTCATCTAAGAGAAACGGCGAAATGTTCCGGGGGAGAACGATTTACCTGCGTTCTGCAATCTTCCTTGCCCCACGACCGACCACCAGACCAGAGAGAGAGCTTGGGATGACAGAGCTTGCGCTGCGGAGCTAGGGCATTGGGATGCGGGGGAAGAAAACAAGGTGCAAGGGACCATCTTGGAGCTCACCCACGTGATGATGTCCACTTAAAAAAAAACAGGATATATATTTCTCCCTCGAAAAATTTCAGTTGGAGTGGGACGAGCTATAGCAGAATCCATTTCTTGCCTTTTACCAGAGATGGCCGTGGCTACGCCCAATATACTCCATTTCTCAATCTTTGGACCATACAAATCCGACCTGATGCGTCGGCATTTTATTAAATTTTTTTGGCATCAGAACACTCAGAGTGCATGGGTTCGAGACCGCGACAGGTAATAGTTTTGTTCTGTGATTTTACTTGTGCACGCCCCCTTTTTGGCTATTGGCCCTTTGAAAGTTTATTCCCACGATTCCTCGTACCTTGTCATCTTCTACATAATTCTTGCCTTCAACACCATTCATTCTGTAAAACTTGCAGCCCTCCGCATTCACTCATTCATAAATGTCGAAAGGCTCCCACGAAGGACGGTCCCAAGTCCCCAAGCATTTGATCTGACCTGGTGGCTTTTGTTGCCAATCAATCTTTCTCAACTCAATGGATGCCTCATCTGCCATAGTGGTCACCCATCCATGTGCCTCCTTGGCCTTCCTCGAGTCATCAACCGAATAGCCAACATTGACACTCGGGATCACCGCAATCTTGCCATGGCCAAGCCTCCATAGATCCTTGGCCAGGTGAACGGGTTCTCCGAGGTGACACTCCTTCTCTATCTCAGTCCTGAACCGGATCTTTCCCTCCAGGAAAGGTCTGGCAGTGAGAGCCACAGCGCCGTTCCAGCAGGAGAAGACTTGTACGGGCTGCCCCTGCAGATACCGTGATTTGCTTGTCTCGTGGTTCCAGAACAGATTCTTGGAAAAATCCCAGGACGTACTCTGAGGCACCTCAAAGAAGGTCTCGCCGTTCATCTGTCTTCCAATCCACGAGTCGTAGAAGGTGCCGCCGTCATCCAAATTGTACCAATCCATGCCACAGGTCATGTCTGCTTTCAGGAGCATTCGCTGATAAACTAGTTCCAAGATGTCCTCGGCACATGGTGCAATGTCATTCAGAAAGACAATCGTGGTTGATGGGTCATACGACTGTGAACGCTGGGTCAGAGGCCAGAGAGCTCTGTTACGCAGTTCGGCCAGGGTGGAAATACGTTCCATGCCCTCTCCACCAGGCTGCAGCTCGTTGCAAGACAGGAAGTAGGACACTCCTAGATGTTCCATCTCTTTTGCCAAGCTCTTCAAGATTTCAAACGTTCCATCGGTTGATCTGCCTTCTACCACAGAGATGACGCAGGCGTGGGGACCGAGAAGCCGAACGACCTCTACAATAGCCCCAAGAAGTTGTGGAAGGATATGAGCTGACTGATGAAGATTCATTGCAAAGTAAAACCTCGGTTTTGAATCAGAGGAGACTGCATTATGGAGACTGAGGTATCTGCTGGCGTTCACCGAAGGGCACTGTAGTTGGGGCACGTCCTCATTACCACGATTCATGATTGAGTCGACATAGCTTCTAGCCTTATTGAATGAATCGCCATCCGCCACTCTGTCTTTGCAATCGATCTGCATGACCTGAGGCTCCTGCACCTTGACGAGAGCAGGGAGGGATGTAGGGGTGAGGTGATCAACCTCCTCAAAATGTTGAGCTTCGGCTTGGGTCAAGTTTGCTTCGGTAGATGGAGGTATCGAGCTCAAAGGCGAGGCCAGAGGCTGAACTGGCTCAGTCAAGGTGCTGAATGCAGTGGCCGTTCGATTGAGTCCATTTGTAGCAAAACGCAGACTGTCATGCAGCTTGTCGATCAGAGGTTGATTGTGTAGTTCCTGCAAGATCAGGAGACCGAACAGGGTCAACAAGAGAAAGGTTTGTCCTAATGATACTGCGAGTTTTCTCATTGTGAAGTTCATCAACATAGGTGTATTGAACGAAGGATAAATCTACAACGTCCGGAAGCACCTCATTTCATCTCGAGCAGAAATTTGTAGGAAGGCACACCCAGGGCTATTGTTTCCCTATCAGAGTTGTCCACTTTCCTTGCCCGTCTCTATCGACCTGATGAACTGAAAGAAACGAGTCTGGATGGATCTACACGTAAGCTTCTGATAATCTTAGGCCTAAAGTGGGAGTCGAAGCAGAGCAATGTGAATAACTAGGATGGATAGTTTATTGATACGAGTGATTCTGTCTAACCCCTTCCTTAGGACACGCGGAATATTGATAGTGTCTAGGTATGTCGCTCATTGCCGTTCACCACCACCATCATCCGTTCAAGTGTGCTCGAAAGTCTTTACCGTCCTGAACGGCAAATCTAAAAGGCAATCTTCTGAGTGGGATCAACCCGCTGGACTACGCCAAATTGCTTCTTCCCAGCATCGAAGACCTGCATTGTGTTAGTGATCAGAGCTCACGAGTCACATCCAGACCCAGACCACTTACCGCATATACACATTTCAAGAAGGTATCACCGTAGATATTGTAGGGCAATCTTCCTCGACCTTGGATGCCGCCAAATACCATTCCTGTGTTTTTGAGCGGGGCGAATGCAATGTGTTCCTTCTGGATAGCGATATCTACCCCTCCAACGGCGAAAGCGACATCAGGGATCTGCTCAAGAGGGGTATCAGACGGAATCAGCCAGCCTTGCTGGGATTGGTCATATGCCGCTCCTGGGATGGAAGAATAGATCTCTTCGACAAGATCGTCATCAATGATCATCAGGGTTGTGCCTGTGTCAGCAATGGCGGTGTTTCCTGGTAACGGGGTTTTCTTCCCGTTGATGACGACGTATTCTGAAGCGAACTCCCAGAATCCGTTACTGTCGTTGACCGGCGTGTAAGAGATCTCACCCCCCGTCGCATGAACCACCTCACTGTCGATGTTCCCGAATGTGAAAAACGATTCGCCATGGTCGGGGTCTTTGGCATCTTTGTAAGAGCCCATGTAGCAGGTGAAAATCTCCTGGTCATTGGGAATGTCCTCTTGCGCAATCATGTTGTCAAGCGGAGTTTTGACTGGGACGGGAGTGACTGTATTGATATTGCCAAAAGCCAGGCCTAAAATGCCCTGCGAGGCAGTCTGAGTAGTGAGAGAACTGGAGATATGGCTGGCAATCTCGACTGCTTGACCTTCGATCGTGATATCTCCGACCTTGACGACATCTGTAACCACTGTTCCTGATGCCGAGGAGCCATCTCCATATCGGATCTGCCAGGTGCTTCCGGCCATGGGCTTCTGGGTGGAGGATTTGTTGGGATCATAGATGGCAGCACCGGATGCAGTCCCACTCTTCTTGGTACTTTCAGGGAGATGACTGGACCAGACCTTGGTAGGGTTAGTTCAATTGTGTCAACAAATGTGGGAAGGAGACGTACCCAAAAATCAGCCGAACCAGAGTCGAAGGTCTTCGTATTTGTCAGTGTAAAACTCCGGAGTATGATTTGATTTCCTAACATACCACCTGAAGTCTCTGGCCAGGAGTGCCAATGGTGACTGGACAAGTATAGTAGACGTCATTCTGCTGATCTTGTGCAGTGCTTTACCACTAGGTTAGACAAATGGAGAGAGTGGAGAGACAGGGTGGCGTACACTTCAGTCGAAGAGCCATCGTCCTGACGTTTCATGAGGCGATTCTTTTCATCACGATGATACGGACCTGGTCTAGTTGGGGTAATGTTGTACTTGTTGTAGAGCCAGACAAGAGACTTGGTACCATTGGCCTTGTAGTCGGCGTTGCGGAGAACAGGGACTCGAGTGACCTTGGATAGTGCCATAGTGGTGACAAGGAAAAGGTGCAAGATGAAGATACTGCTGTAAAGCGATCCGGCTCAGAGAATGGTTAACAGCGTGAAAAATGAAGCGATTGGGATAAAATGCTGGACGAAGAGGAACAGAACGATAGACGGTGTGGATTATGGGGGAAGAAGGAAAAAGACGTGCAGGAAAAGAGATGCCACGCAAGCTGATGCGAAAGAGCAAGTGCGGCTGGTGAAGCCCAGGGAAGGTGCGGTGCTCAAGAGACTCACTGGAGCAGCATCGTGATAGACGGCTGTACCTGCTGATCAGTTTGGTATCCAAGTTATGGAAGGCGACAGAATAGCTTCTTGAGGCACAGCTGCACAAAGAACGAGTTGCTGGAAGGAGTGATGGGAGTCGCACTGTCGAGTGGTCAAAGAATGGATTGTTAGAGGATAAAGGTAGATATGCAATGCAGCGAACGAGATGTTTGTGTTGGTACGGACAGTTCAGGTTGTATAATGAGCATCTCGCCATCTTCATTTGTTTGTCCTCGACGTCTTGTCCTACACAGATACCCGAGTCTTGATCCTGTACTTCCTGCCAACTCTTCGTTTTTTGTTTGCTTGCTCTTCGTATTCCAACCATGGCCCAATACAAATACCCATGAAGACTCTGAAACTCTTCAGCAGATCAAGTCATTGAGACCTAAAGTTTGTAGAACGCTTGGCTGCTCGGTCTTCCTAAGTATCGTCGTACCGATACACCGACGTGATCGATGGTGACAACATCCTGAGGTCCTCTTCATGGCTTCCCGTCGGTGAGCAGGATCTATAAAGTGAAGACCAGAAGATTCCACGAGGATGTATAATGCGTAGCCCACATAGGGTCATCTTAAGTGATGTAGGAACAATACATCACAGAACGAAGAACGTGTGGGCGAGGTTTGTTGAAGCGGCTCGGCGGATCTCGAGGCGGGTGGAGCAAGAAACTTTCTTCCAAGATAAGATTAGATTTGCCTACATCTCGTTGGAGAAAAACTTCACCTGCGCTGATCAAAACCATGAGATTTTGACCCGACACCGACCCAGTCTGCCAGTCCAGAACAACCAGCTTTCTCGGACACTAACGAGCATAATGGCTGCCGATGTCCAGCCAATTGCTCAGGTCAAGTTGCCTGCTCGGCCTTCTTCTCTGACGCCGGAGCAGACGTACTGGCGATCATTCAAATCTCCTCTGAACATTTCCTCGCCGACAAAGCATGCAATTACACATATTTCGCAGCCACAGCCCGTTAGTGTTGGCCAAACTCCTTCCGATTTCTTTGTTGTCACGACTGGTGCGCGGGTGCAACTTTACTCTGTCAAGTCCCGAAAACTTCTGAAGACGATTACACGGTTCGACGATATTGCCTACAGCGGTGAAGCCCGATACGATGGACGAGTCCTTGCGGCAGGCGATGAGACTGGTGCGATCCAGGTGTTTGATGTTAATTCAAGAGCTATTTTGAAGACCTGGAAAGAACAGAAACAACCAGTGCGCACGGTTCGATGGAGTCCTAAGGAGACCACGGCGTTGATGAGCTGCGGAGACGACAGAACGGTCCGACTGTGGGATCTTCCAAGCGAGAGTAGCGTCGAGACCTTTCGCGGCCACCAGGACTACGTGCGGACGGGCGGGTTTCTACCGGGACAGTCAAGCCATTTGTTTGTGTCGGGCAGTTATGATCAGACGATCAGGCTCTGGGATCCTCGCACGCCAAATGCGGCGGTTATGACATTCAAACATGTCGCCGCGGTGGAAGATGTCTTATGCATGCCATCTGGGACCACCATCCTGGCGTCAGCCGAGAACCAGATTGCAGTGCTGGATATCGTGGCAGGACGACCGTTGCAGATGATCAAAAACCACCAAAAAACAGTCACATCGTTGTGTCTGGCATCCAATGGATCAAGAGTAGTTAGTGGAGGCCTAGACGGACATCTGAAAGTCTTTGAAACGACGGGGTGGAACGTCGTTGCTGGTTCCAAGTACCCCGCCGGCATCCTTTCAACATCGGTCGTTACGGCTGGAAACTCTCGAGAAGACACGCACGTTGTGGTAGGGATGTCCACTGGTCAGCTCAGCATCAGAACAAGACTCTCTGGGGAGCAAAAAGTAAAAGAGCGGGAAAGACAAAAACAAATGGAAGCACTGATTGCAGGGACGATCGAAGAGTACGACAAGAGGCAGGCCAAAAAACGCCCCAGGGGACTCGAAAAGCGGCTCAGAGGGCGCGACTATGCGGGCGAAGATGCTGACATCATCGTCGAAGGAAATGTGCGACCGAAACAGAAGAAGCTGACTCTCTGGGAAAAGGAATTGCACAAAGGCAGATACCGGGAGGCGCTAGACATTGCTCTGCAAGGTGCTGACAAGCTCACAATTGTCACATTATTGAACACTCTCCGCTATCGATCTGCACTGCGTGCTGCTCTCGAAGACCGCACGGAATCAGATCTCCAGCCCATCTTGCACTGGATATGGAGGAACATTTCCAGCACGGCATTTGTTTCCCTGTGCGTGGAAGTTGCGATGAACATCATGGACCTATACTCAAAGCACCTCTCCGAATCCGAGGATCTCGCAAAGCACCTCAAAAGGCTGCGGGACCGTGTCCACGAAGAGACCGATCGAGCAGAGCAAGCTGGGATAACCAGGGGAATGTTGGAGCTAATGGCTGCGCAGCAATTCGGCTAAGTGGACATATTTCAGCCTTTCGTTGTACTTGCAGAAACCACCCGAAGTCGACATTGTGGAATCTCGGCTATATTGCGCCACGGAAGCTGAAGAGCCCCGGAACGGTCACTGTCGGTCTAAAGTTTCCCCGGAAGTTGCCGTGGTTCTCTCCTACATTATCTCATATGCGGGGCATCTGAGGTCAAGGGTTTTTTCCTGGATAAAATCCTTCAACTTCCGTCATTCCTCTACCAGTTGGCGATAAGAGAAACTCTCGAACTGGCAACATGGCTCCTCAGACGATCCGATGGGGCATTTTGGGCAAGTGATGCCGTGTTCCGCGCCAAAGTGCAACTGGCTAACAATGGCTCAGCTACCGGAGGCATTGCCATTACATTCACGAAAGACCTTCTGGTTGATCCCGCAACTCGCGGTGTGCACGATGTCAGACATACCGTGGTTGCTGCGGCTAGTAGCTCCAGCGCATCCCGCGCACAGGAATTCTTGAACGAGGTCAAGGCTCCGTCGACCGCCAAAGCGTATGGATCGTACGCAGAGCTGGTGCAGAATCCGGACATCGACATTGTGTATATAGCTACGCCTCATTCCCACCATTACCAGAACGCATTACTCTGCCTTGAGGCTGGCAAGAACGTCTTATGCGAGAAAGCCTTCACTGTCAACGCCTCCCAAGCGAAGAAGCTCGTCCAGAAGGCAAGAGAGAAGAACCTGTTCCTGATGGAGGCAGTGTGGACACGCTATTTCCCCCTCTCTGTCTACGTACGTGAGGCAATCAGCTCTGGGAGATTGGGTCACGTAGTCAGAGCATTTGCCGACAATTCTCGCGCTTCCGAGCCGGAGAAGGTCTGGGCCGACGGCAAACACAGGATGGTCAATCCAGATTTGGCGGGTGGCGCTCTTCTAGACCTGGGAATCTACAGCCTCACGTGGGTCTTTCAGACTTTGTACACCACGCAAGCACCCGCGAACCGCCAACCACCAAAGGTTGTTTCTAGTATGGTTAAGTATCCACCAACAGGCGTTGACGAGACGACCACCATAATACTTACGTTCCCTCGCGACCCCGAACAAGGTGGCGACATGCACGCGGTAGCAACCACGGGTATGCGCACATCAAGTGACATTGATGGAAAGGGCACCTCTGGCCCTGCGGTCCGGATTCAAGGCACAAAGGGCGAAATACAAGTATGGCCACCAGCATACCGGCCAACGAAGACCAGGCTGATCCTCACCGACGGTACCACGGAGGACAAGGAATGGACGCAACCTGGTCCAGGTAAAGGAAGTGGGTGGTTCAACGGTTTTGGAGATGCGATGAATGCAGAGGGCGAGGGCCACGGAATGTTTTGGGAGGCCGATGAAGCCGGGAGAGCCATTGTGGAGGGACGTAAAGAGGGTAGGTATGAAAGCTTGGATGAAAGTGTATTGATCATGGAGGTGATGGACGAGGTCCGACGGCAACATGGCTTCAGCTATCCCGAGAAGATTGAGACGACCGAAAGAGTCGAACTATGAGCTGGAGCCGTGAAATATCATCTCCATTAAACCAGACGACCCAAACAGATCAGCAAAATGACAGATTAACTAACCGTAAATGGAATGGCGCACATTGGATCCGGGGCTTGGCGACTCCAAGATCGACGTCACCTCCAAAACAATTGAAAATCCATCTGATTGGCTGCTGTTGCAGCTTGCTGTGGTACGACAGAATTGACAGCATACCATCAACCATCAATTCATCAGGGTGTAGCATCTGGAAGGGGAACTCAATCTCTCTATTCTTCATGTAGATAGGACATTGAGTGTCTTGATCGTCATTAGGAAGCAATCTGTCGCCTAATACCCTCACATCTGCCGCCTCGGAAACTTCCCAGCCTTCTGCATAATTGCACGCGTAAATTCTGTGGCTGGCGCCTGGTTTACATACTTTCGAGTCTCAATGCTCCCTTTGTCCACGCAAACTCAATCCTGTCCTTCGTTCAGAAACTGTCACTCGGCAAATCTCCTTTGGGAAGCATTCGATAGCTCCCTCGCAATCTCTAACGTCTTTCTCTACCCGGCAACTGACACCATGTGGCCTTGAAGAACCAGAACCACTATTTCTGCCTCGAATGCCGCAGCCTTCACAACAACCTCAACAACCCAGTATCAACACCGCAGGACGGTAGTTAGTCTCCTCTACCTTTGCCAACATGGCTTCCAAAACGAGAGCCCTCAACGCCGCTCATGCTGCGGGAATATTTGCAGACATGACCCTCGACGGCCCCGAGATTGGCACCCTCGTCGCCGTGGTGGACAGGGCAAAAAACCTGCCGAATCGAAAGACCATGGGCAAACAAGACCCTTACTGTGCCATGAGGCTCGGGAAAGAAGCCAAAAAGACGGAAACTGATAAAAGAGGGGGACAAACACCCAGATGGTGAGGAGATTCTGAAAAACGCACGGGCATCTCGCTGACGGATACCAGGGACCAAGAACTCCGATTCACTGTCCACGACTCCCCTGACTATTACAAATTGAAATGTTCTGTCTTCAACGACGACAAGAAGACCGATCTCATCGGCGAAGCTTGGATAGATCTCACACAGGTCATCATCCCCGGCGGTGGACAAAGTGACCAGTGGCGTCAATTGAACTTCAAGGGGAAATATGCAGGTGACATCCGGATTGAGCTGACATATTATGACACAAGACCAAAGCCGGAATCTCTAGGAGAGAAGCAGAAACAAAGAGACAAATCTCATACCATAGTCAGTGACGCTTCAAGCATTCCTTCTGGCTCTCGCCAACTCGGTCCCCGTGAGATCAAGAGGAGACCTCTTCCACTTGGTCCTGGTGGGCATTCAGGTGTTTCCACCGCTGGAAGTGTCGAGCGATGGTCTCGGGAAGAGTCGCCAGATGCATTTCCGGGCTATGGGTATACGAATAGCAACCCTCCGCCGCGTCCACCAAAACAACGATTTGTTCCCGAGACTCCAGACGATGTTGGATATTCTCTCAACCCTCGATTCGGCCCTGACCCTGACGAACTGCTCCAGGGCTCCGGCTCACCTTACCAGCAGAGCCAATCCTCTGATAAGTACTACAACAATCACAACGACCCTATGGCGGGGTACGGGGAGCAAGACGCTTATGCGGTGGATTCCTACCAGCAACCAGGACTTTTGTCGCAAACCCAAATATCACAGGCTGTACCAGGCCCACCACCACCACCGGACCATCATTCCTCGTCGGCACCACACTCGCCATACGATATGCTGGATCAAGCCCCGTATCATTCCTCTCCGCCCCGAATGACGCCCCAGGGTACGCCACCAGGAATGCAGAGCCAGCAGTGGAACGGCAGGGGCAGCGCGTCTCCCACCAAATATGCCACTTACCGGGACAGTCCACTCCGCCAATCTATCAATCCAAATGATATGCCTGGAGTCGCTCCGATGTACTCCGATCCACGGTTCGATGAAGATGGATCACCTCCGCCACCTCCTGCTCACCGAGGTACGATGACGAGAGTGCCGGCATCGTCGTTGAGTTATAAAGACTCGTATGGAGAACCTTCACCCCACACACCTGTCAAAATGAAAAGCCTCGAAGGCAGGAGCCCTCTTCAGAGGCTCGAGCGTGACTATGATCCATTCCAAGCGGGCCCTTCGCAAGAAATACAACATCATATTCCCTCGCCGCAATCCTATGAGCCAAGTCCGCCGCCAGCAATGGACCTCGATCGATATCCCTTGTTCCCATCTGATAAGCGAAAATCCTACAACGGTGATATACATCAACTTCAACCAATCTCTAGCGAAAGTGGCATGCCAGCTCCTGAACAGAGTCGCGATCCCAATTTCGACCAACAACGCGAAGGTGAAAATTTCCAAGAGCATTTCCGGCGATCAGTAGGTAACGAACCTCTGCGGCGGGCACAAACATTCGACAACTTTGAATTGCAGGATGATAGACACGTCCGGAGATCTGCTCCGGTGGTCATTCGCCCCCGGCCAATCACCCCTAATTCTAACCACAGTATCCCCCGGAAGTCCATTACCCCAACGTTCCCAAACAGCGATGATCGCAACCAGATATCCAGTGTTCCATTTGGGCCTGGATCGTACGATGTGTTGAATCCCGCCACTGGATCAACACCAGTTGACGTTGCATTCAATTGCCCAGAAGATTCGGTAGAGATGGCTCGACAGAAAGCGGCCGACAAACTTAGGGATCAAGGCCCAATTATCGGGAATGATGGCCGAGTGATTGATCCCTCGGACCATCTCCCTTCTGATACATGGGCGCCCGAACCTGAAAGAAAACAGCGAAAACCAGAGCATGTCATTAGGATCCGCACAAGAGAGGAAGTCCGGGCGCACAATCGTACAGGATCATCGCCCGCCTCAGCTCGGCCACACTCGATTGCAGCGTCGCCTTATCAAGGCTCTCCAAATGCTCCAATGTCTTCATCGTATCAGACATCGACCCCTCCATCCACGGCTCCCGCTTCCCCTCAAGTCGAAACTCCCAGTGGCCGAAACAGGCTGCGGAAACAGATGCCAAACCGACCTCTCCCGACTCAACCATACCCGATCTCTCAGGCAGGCCCTGTTGCTCAAAATGGCGCCTCAAGTGAGCGGGCTAGTCCCTCGAACCAGCGGTATACGATTCACTCTTCTCCTGGAAGCGGTTCACTTCAGCGATCTCCAGCACCGGAATACCAGGCTCCGTCTGCGAGCAGTTACAGTCCCCATGGTGGATACGGACCACCACCGGGACCTCAATATCAACTAGAATATTCTCCTTTGCCCGCAAATCCGCCTATGGGAGGGTCACTGCCGGAGAGTGGCGGGTACGGCGGTGGCCCGTCATATGATGGAGAGAGTTCGCTGGCGCTGGAATTGAGCAGGATTGACATCGGGCCGTCGAGGATGCCCCGGACGGCATTACGACCCCAGAAAGCATACGGCGCGTATTAGCCAGCAGACATAGATGGATGACAGACAAAGACGACATGGAAAATGGGCATTTTGCGGGCGTTGGGAGCTGACTGTGTTTGGATTTTGGTCTCTTGAGTTCCCTTGGAATACGGGGATATAATGCGCCCCGAAGGCCAGGGAGGTGGTAATCAGGCCCGATGCGCACAAAAAATAAGGCGGTGGGATTAAGCACTAGGTACTAGGTAGGTAGGTGCAGGTGTAGGTATATACATTCGAGGGAAAACAAATGGACATTTGTCCCATGCATCATTCACTCATTCATTCGTGCCACAGCATACTGGAATTACAAAAGTAAACGGGATGAGGTACCTGTCATTGACTCCCCCATTCACTTCCACCTACCTCGTACGAGATCCATAGAGCAGTGCTCGGTACATACACGCACGTCTGCCTCCGTATTCACTAGCTCTTCACTTGCATGGCCATCATCATGAGGGCATGTGAACCATTCCTTCTAGCCTTCCTTCTACATAGTCCCGCGGCCTCTCGTCATCGACTCTTATCTTTTCCTCACGGCCACGATATACCGAATAATCAAACAGTGCGTCATGAAAAATGAAGAATGAACCTAGAAAGGGGAAAGAAAAAACTCTAAAACGACTTCGCTTTGTCCAGTCCGAGTATATACATGGATCATCATCGGTGAGTATTTTCTCAAGTGTCTTGTTCGATGTGGTCTGTTCGATTCTTATATCAAAGATAAGCAAAGCAGTCATGAGATATATTCCTTCCGAAGTATTTCCATACATGGCTGCCCACTTGTGCCAACTCCATCCACGGTTATGTTTCCAACCAAGTGTCTGTTTCTCAATAGCTTCCAACGCTAAGCGAGGGGCTCATTTCTCTTTCCTCTCTCCAAATTCGTCATGTCTCTCAACATGTCCCGCCCTGCCTCCGAATTGGGCCTGTACGACTCTGCCACCTGAGGCACCTCAACGAGGAAGGCTTTCAAGCAAGCTGCCGCCGAGGCGGCCGCATATTTCTCAAACCTGTCGTTCCGGTGGCCATCGGCATAATCGCAGGCCCCTTTGATCACGACCATAGGTACGAGTTGCCGGAATCCGATGTCGTGGGTGTTGAAGGCGCTGACCTTGAATTTGTCGGCAATCTCGTCGCGATGGCGCCCTGATGATAGCCCGTGATTCCCAAATGCCAATACACCCAGATGAACACGCGGAATGTGGTCGGCACCCTCGCCATCGCCCTCATCGCCGTCACCACTCTCCCCTGGTAGCTTCGTCAGTTCCTGAAGCGCTGTGTCGCAGCCCACATCCTCACACGACTCGTTTCTCGCATCATCGCATATCAAGCTCTCGCCAGCGCCGCAGATGAGGCAGAAGCGAGGTGAACGATGTTTGTGCCGGTACAAAGGCGAATACAGCCTGTCGAACTGACTGCCAGGGTATGTGTATTCCATGTCCACAGCTTGTAAATTTCGCAGATGACCATCCATTTCAGCCTCCAGAAGCTGTCGATTGTAAGTTCGATCAAGATTTGAAATGGCCGCCCGAATATCCATAGCCCGCTGGTACCTCTCGTCGATTCTACCACCCAGGTCAATGATACGTTCAAGACTATTCCAGATGAAATCAATTTCCACCATCTGGCTGCAGATGAAAACGTCGCCGAGGGAATGAAAGCGCCCTTCGGTAGAAGGGAACGCGCTGCAGACTCCTACAAGGAACGCGAATTCGACGGCCGGAAAGCTTCTCAAAAGCAATGACGGTTGATCAGGGGTTTCGGGGTTTCCCAGCAACTGCAGGACAACTTTGTGCCCGCTAATGGTGCCGGTTGCGTATGTACTATCGTCCTCAGCTTCGGCACCGTACATTCCCCAATGTTCATCGAACATCGACCTCACAGCCTCAAATTCAATGATGGAGGCACAGACGATCGCTTTGGTAATTTCTTTGTTGGTCATTGGCTTAATGGAGCGACTCGAAGGGCCCAGTTGGTTTGAATCTAACATCAAGCCCGTCACCCCTTTTGTGAGCATGTCGGGCTTGATATCAACCAATTGGAGTAGAAGTGCCTTGGTGAATGCGCCAGCAGCTGTAGAAGCATAATTCTTCCAAATCGATTGTTTGTGAGAGTCAGCATAATCGCCAATCCCACGAATGACCAGAAGAGGCTGGGTGGCGAGGGTCGTGTAGAGGTCCTGCCCATTTGCATCGATGGCAAACGATATGCGATCTGACTCGAAAAAAGGTTGTCCACGAGGGTCTACAACGGGGCGTTTCGTGAACGCAATCCGGGCATGGTGAATACCTGGGGGAGTGCGACCAGGGAGCCTATCTCGTGAGATCAACTGTTGGTTCGGGTCGCAAAAGTTGCAATTCGGATGATTTCCTACATGCTGGTACTCTCTACGGAAAGCAAGGTCTCGCTCGTGTCCAGGATAGACGGCAAACGCTCTCAAGGCGGGTTCCGTATGTTCAAAGCTTGACATGACGCTCTTGACGTCGATATCCCGAAGAGATTTTGTGCCCGAGGCAATGTGGATCCGACGTGGACCAGTCCTCAGGACTAGCTCGGCAAGCCTCAGCGATGTCAAGTCCGGGCTCCTTGTATCGACGACCACGTCTCCAAGGAAAACGTGGTGTAAAGGATTAGCGCTGCAAACTCCAACCGACAAGAAGAGCTCAATCTTGGGAAAGCCCCAGAGCAGATCCACAATCAAAGGACCCCGGGCCGTCTGAGGATCATGATAGGCAACCACGACCTCCCAGCGACCAATTGTGCCCAGCACGTAGTTGGCTGGATCGCATCGATGTCTGGGGAAATTATGGTGCTTTGTATCTAACAAGGCGGTTGCAACGCGGAAATCGAGCGAGTCGGAGCATATCCAAGCTATCGTATAGTCTCTCCGACGAGGACCTTGTTTCTTTGCTCGGAAAATCTCCCTGTGTTTCCGCCCGCCAATACCCGTCGTTATGCGAACTTCCGTGTAGCGACCATCAGAGGAATCCGGTGGTAGTCGAGGAGATGATAAAGGTGAGCTTCCATGACTGGAGACTGAAAAGGCGGGATTACCGTAGCTGTTAACGAACTCCCATTCCGAAGAGAGCATGATGCCGTCGTGGTATGTTGGATCGTCGGCATAACGTTCAACCTCAACGTCCACCGGACCTTCATGATCTTTGGGATCTATCTTGTCGTCTGAATGCTCCAGTCCCTGGCCCATTGACACTGATGAGGATTGGGCCGATCCTAGGTCTTCTGACCATGGCAGCGCCATCAAGGCAATGAATTGGAGATGGGCCATGATATGGCGTAGAAGCCGTGCCTCTTCTGAGTGTTTGTGTCTGTATGTATCATCGTCGTCGTCTTCTTCCTCCTCCTCCTCTTCCCCCTCCACCTCCTCATCCGTGGCGGCACTCTTCGGTATTCGAACCGCTTTCAATCGCAACGTCAAAGCGTCTTCCACTTTTGTACGCTTGGCAGGTGATTGCGGCAGCGACGGCAAACTCTCTGGTTGCTTTCTCTTGTCCAAAATCGAGCTTTTGTCTGGTCCCGGGCAGATGGGACATTCAAGGAAGATCGGGTCGAGCGGCGTCCGGCACATGCTACGGACAAGGAGGTCTCCGAGTTCGTTTCCGACCAAGGTCTTTGCGTGAGACTGCGTCAAGTGGTTCCTGTAGCTTTCTGGGGTTCTGAAGTAGACACGCTCATGGTCATGTTTCGGCGCCAAACAGGCATATTGGATCTCACCGTGGGTGTTGCGCATGTGAAGGAGCCAATCGGCACTCCTCGAATAGAGCTTGAGAGGGGTGGCGCACTCTTCGAACAGACAGACATACGGCTGAATGTCATTCTTTACATGTTGCCTATGGAACATCATCAGCGTTGTGTCTGGGAAGTGAACCCTGTCTCAGGCAGTGAGCTAACCTCCACTTCTTTGAGTCGCTCCTATATTCTGTCGGTAGTGGACGGCGACAGTATGGGCAGGGAAAGGACGGCAAGGCAGGGTTGATGGAAGGGGCCTTTGGTGGTGATGGCCAAGTGACCTGTCCATCCTTGAATGTCTTCCCGCTGGAGATTGAAGCTGTTCCACCCTCGGATCTCTCGAATGAGGCACTGGTGTAGTCTGTCGCCTGCGTACTCGGCATAGACTTGGATGGTGCTTGGGATGGCAATTCGGCTCGTGAATGGAATGCATCTTTGTGAGAAGGGGCAACTGGAGGCTGATCATCCGCTGTTTCATCTTCGATTGCTGTACTTGCCGAATGTTGGTCAGTGGAGGGGCGTGTCTTGTCTTGGGCAAGTTTGAAGGCATGTTCTCGCGCATATTCGAACTGGTTGCGTCGCTTCACGTTGGCCAACAATAGACGCGTTCGTATGAATTGCGGCACTTCAGGATACTCGCGTTGGAATCGTTCGCTGATATACCACTCCATATGCTTTCTGAAGTCCTCTGAGCCTGGGTAGACGAATCTGCTCGCTCGCTCACGCCAGTCGAATCTGCGAGAGCTGCGGATGGCCAAGGCCAGCTGGTGGAGGCGGAACAACACATTCTCAACTTCTTGATCAGGTCGCGACTGAGACATCGTTGTTGACTTGTCGTCATCGTCTCGATCGCTGACCTGAGGCGAGGAAACCTCTTCCATCTCTACCTCATCTTCATCGTCAGACCCCGACGACGACAGCGCTTCCCCAAGAGCCTGGCGATTTGACTGCGACTGCTCCTCTGATACGCTTTGTATGAATGCCGGATCCTGGTACGCTTCGATTGCTGGTCCCCGAGCACTATTAGCATCTCCATCCATCGTTTATCCCAGGGTGTCTGATATCGCAAAGCTCTACATTGCATATGGGATCGGAAACAAAAGAAGATGAGGCTGCATACTTTGACGAAGGTTCAACTGCAACAGATCTAACAAATCCATCACCGCTGCTTTCATATTCTCATTGCCTTGTAGGCGGGCATCGGCAGATGCAGACCGCGGCGCAAAGGCCCCGATAGATTCGACCCATAGCCTGAAACTTGCACGTTGGTTCAGTGCCCATTTGTTGTTAAAGATGTCGGGTAGTCGAAGGCATTGTTCGAAAAGGGTCTCACAGTCTTTGGAAGCTTGAAATATCGACATTCTATCAGTCTCCAAGGTCGATGCTCCAGCCGCCGTATTGACCTGGTTTGAAGATGACAAGGACACTTCTCAACCAAGGATCAGGGAGGAGACTGTTGAGGCTCTCCCATGGTGATGGCCAGCTGGCTAGGCCTAGGAGCTATTGCGTTAGTATCTCAAGGCATTCGCTTATAACCCATGCAACCAGCCCCTCGTCTTACCCCTCCACCATCCATCATGGCTTCACGTGGAGAGGCGGGTGTGCCTCGCACTGACTATGTCCTCGCTCAGGCTGCAGCCTCACCAAGCAAAAACGCGAACTTCCTGTGACTTGCAAGTTGCCATCCTGCTCATAGTCACTTCTGGCTTGACTCTACCGAAGACGACATCTACCAACATAACATGTCAGTCTCGCCCCGAGTTCTAATAGATCTAGCGCTCGCTGTCCTTCCCAAATTCGTCGCTGCTGCCCGGGTACAAGGCTCACTCTGCAAAGAAAAGTCCAAACTACGGACATTCTACGGATATCTCACGGCTAATCTGGTGGCAATCCACGAGATACTTGGCGGGTTGGAGGAACGCCATGACTCGGTCTTGGGACAACTCGCCGGCCACGGGCTATCTCAGGCGGTGGAAAAGTTGTTGCTACGTCTCGAGCGTATGGCGAGGGTGAGCGACGAGCACCAAAAACTTCAAGAGTCACGCACCTAAGAATGCTTGAATATAGACTACAGGCACAGTTGACACTGCGCATCCATTTCCAAAGCTCCAAACCCTGAGGGCTGTGTCTGCAACTACGTCGAGTGACAGCTGTGGCCTGCGTCGAATGTCGGCAGCCGTACTGAAGGACCATCGGGCTAAACTTCTGCGCCATGTCGACAACAGCCTTGCCAGCCTTGGTCGTATCGTCATGCGACAAGGCGAATTACCCACGGCAGCATCATGGCAGGACGGAGCCCAGCCGTCTGTAGCGACGGAGCACGGTCCAGCTAGCGACCAGGGGACAGAGGAGCAGGTTCCTGACCTCACTTATGAAATTCAAGCCCTCCACAGGGCCATGGCTACGCGCTGGCCATGCTCTTGTTGGACGCGACACGGCGCTTTGCTTCGCCTGACATCCTTTTACACGGAGAGAGAAATCAGTGCCTGTCGGGCGTTCCACATGAAGTTATTGTTCTCTCGCAACAGCCTTGACTCATGGAAACAGGCCCAAATCCGGTTGGAGAGGTAGGTCGACTACCAACTCAATCACCAGTCACGTTGAAGTTAACATTCTTGAGTTAGACGTCCGACACAAGTCCAATTTGCCTTGGCTGTGACAAACCCTGCCGAGAATGCAGATCATCCCTTGACAGGCACTGTGCATACTGGGTCTGAGTCTGGATTGAGCACGGATTGGGAGGCAGATGAAGCCAGTTATCGAGATATTCCAGTCCAGCCCGGCTCACTGTGCCGGCTCATGCTTGCCTGTCAACGAGACACTCAAATGTTATACTTGCTGGCACGGAGACAACGAACTGAAGTCCATCTCCGCGGCAGTTTGAGGAGACTGGTCGACTTTAGCGTGGACCGACTAATACCTCTTTCCTCAATTCTGAATACGACCGGTAGTAATGCTTTCTTGGATCTGAGACAGAATATCAAGGAGCGGCTGATGTTAGCAAACATACTCGCGACAGCCGTCTTGCATCTTTGCGCCTCGCCGTGGGCACAGCGACAGTGGGTCAAGGAGAGACTGTGTTTGGCGTTGTCGGGGCGGGAGAATTCACCCACCGATTGCGTGGTCCAGCTTTACCTCAAATCAGATCTCGATGAGCACACGGGAGAGGGTGATTACTATGATGTCCAGCATCCTTGCCCTGTTCTTGTGGATCTTGGGGTCCTTCTCGTCGAGCTCGAGTTGGGCAAACCCATTCAAGATTTGGCGCAGCTCATGGCTCCAGGGAATCAAGTTTCGGAAATCGCGCTTGACCGCAACCCCTGCATTTCGTTGCTGGAAAGGGTTCTTCGATCTGATCTCCTTTCGAGAACATTTGTGCCCTACCAACAGGCAATCTGGGCATGCTATGACTGTAGGTCTGCGGGCGGTGACCCGACTGAGATTCAGCACTGGATCAAAGACAAGATATGCAGGCCTCTGAGCCAGCTTCTTTCGGCATCATTTCAAATTCGCATCACTGCCGATGGCATACAGGCCGCTCACAACGAAATTCTGGGTTTGGGAGACTCTGTGCAGAGAAATGACCCTCCAGCTCAAAGCGGCGTTTGGGGTGCCAATGATCGGTTGGTGTCGGTATTGTGTCAACCGGGGCAGTTTCTAGACTGCGAACGCAGCCTGATGGCGGACGACGCTTCCAAGTAAGTCATGTGTGGCCCCAAAAAGAATGTCAAACCGTTGTTAACCTGAACAGATGGGCTGGCGCCGACGACTGGTTTGAAACCCTCCAGCGCAAGACACACTCCCACTTCGTAGGGCTGGGTGTGACCCGCCGACGAGACAAGCCGATCAAGATTGCCATCCTCGACACGGGCATCGATGCTGAACGGCACCCCCGGACAAAAGCCGTCATGGCTACTAACCCTCAGCTCCGCGGGTCATCGAATCGCATCAAAGGACTGCGCTCATGGGCAAACGACAAGGTCTATGGGGAAGACGTGAAGTCAATGAAGGATGAACATGGACACGGCACGCACGCGGCTGGGCTGATTTTGCAAGTGACTCCATTTGCGGACATATACGTGGCACAAGTGACAAACGGTGTGTTTTTCGAGGCGGACCCGTTCGCTATTGCACAGGTTTGTTTTTCCCCCTTAAGTGTGTTGGATATGCTAAACTGTACAGGCGATTAAATATGCGGTCGAGGACTGGGGGGTCGACATCATTAGTATGTCCTTTGGATTTGATGACGGGATCGACGACATGGCTGAGGCTATCGACCTGGCCAACGCCAAGGGAGTGATCATGGTGGCGGCGGCTTCCAACGGCGGCAAGATCAAGAGCGAAGGAGATAGTTATCCTGCGTCCAGTGTCAAGGTCATCTCGATTCGGTCGGCGAACGGCAGTGGACGGGCATCGGAGTTCAACCCGGACAAACCAGACCCGAAGACGTACTCGACCTACTTCAACGTGGTGGGTGAGTATGTGCTCTCGGCCTGGCCTACGCATCTGGAGCCCAGCGGCGAGAAACGGGCCAGTGGGACGTCGGTGTCAACACCGATTGCGGCAGGTGTGGTGGCCCTGATGCTGGACTATATCTGGGTTAGGTTGTGTGACGTCGAGAAGACGGCGTTGTTCGACAGTATCCGACGCACGCCCAATGCCACGGCTGTGCGGATGGCACTGAGCTTCATGACAGGGAAGAAGGACAAAACGCAGGGTCTCTATTTCCTCAAGCCGTGGCTACTGATGTCTGACCAAGCGAGTGCTAGATGGAAACTTTTCGAGGAGCATTTCAAGATAGCGTGACTTTGTGTTGTAGAATAGGATTGAACATGGTATACGTGATCAATTCCCTGGTCGTCGTAGCCCTGGATCAGTGACAATTAGTCCAGGTACGTACATTGGTTATCCATAATCGCTCAGTCGTGAATAGCTACTGTTAGCTAGCAAGCGAAAGGTCCACTTTGCACTCCGTACATGACATACAAACTGTTCGAGTGGACCGTCCAGCCTCGCCATGCAAATACGTTGTAGAAAAACTAATCAATTTGTTGGAATTCGTCCGTCGGAGGGGGAACCATACATAGTCTCCCCGTCAATTCCTCCGCTGACCATCCAAGCCCATCAAGGACGAACTTCAGGGACCTTGAGATCTTCTCTCCTTTTCTGACAATCTGCGAGGCCTTTTTTTCGTTTTGGTGGTCACTACAGGGCCGACAAATCTGGCAGGCCCCTCGGCCCAATTTCGACGCGCTTCTTCAATTCGGCCTCGTCGGCGACGCCACCCTCGATCTTGCGGATGAGTTCCTCCGGGTCGAAGTCGGTCCCGATGGGGTTCTCGGCGAAATATTTGCTGTTCATGAACTCGTTGGCCGCGTCGACCGTGTCGAAGTTGTCGACCTGCGTCTCGAGCATGTTCCCGTCGGGGTCTTTGTAGTAGATGGACGTGGTGGGGCCGTGGTTGACGCTCCATACCGGCTTGATCCCCCTGGCCAGGCGCTGTCGGTACGCGAGGAGCAATGCCGATAGAGTCGGGAACGTGAATGCGATGTGTTCCAGCCCGCACGTCGTGGGTGCCTTGGGCGCCGTGTCCGGGATCCCGATCAGTGCGATCCGGTGGTGTTCCTCGTCGTACGTGATAAAGGAGATGAAGTCGTTGCCGTACGTGATAGTCCCGCCGAGGAAGGTCGTGTAGAAGTCCCTCATGCCGGAGAAGTTGTTTGTGCGCAGCACCACATGCGCGAGCGTTGAGGGCGAGAGAACCTTGGTCCCTTTGTCGGAGAAGTTGGTCGAGATGGAGCCCATGTTGAGTTGAGTGATTCACTTGGTTCGCTTGGTCACTTTCTGGAAGGGGTCTGTTTCTTCTACTTCTTCTTTTTTTTTCTTATGGAGAGGGAATTCTTGTGTATGTTGGTGGTGGTGGTGGCCGTGGTGGTGAAAAAAGAGGGGGTGGTTGATATACGAACGGTTCTAATCCCTATTTGCGCGGTCAAAACGTCTGTCACGGTAAGCACCAAGACCGAGACTCACCTGTCTGGTGTCACACAAGTCACGACAGTTTCTCCGCCTCTGCATAATTTCTTAGGCGGCGGCATCATCATCATCGTCATCCCACCTCATCGCGTCTCGTCACCCGGCCCGAACGAAGCTTGGGGGGTCGAGGTTTGATGCAGGAAGAGGCGGGGACGAGGAGAAATTCTCGGCCAACTCAGTCCGAACGAATTCGTCCGTCATTCCGAGGAACAAGCGACCAAGTTGGCAACCCCGAGCAACCAAGCATGCCGCTTCATACATGTACATGGCTAATGAGTAGACTAGGACACCTAAACCCGGTACATGTGAATGACTAATATCCGTGGAA